GGGGTCGCGGCCCGGCGGCTCCGGGGACGTCGAGAGGCCATCCTGGGAGGTCTGCGGCCCGCGGCACCTCCCGCCCCCGGCTTCCCCCTGTGCGCCCGCGGCCTCGCCCTAGGCCGACGGTCCGGCCTCCTTCTCTGTCTCCCTGCTTCCCTCCGTCCCGTCTCCTCCCCGATGGCTCCGCGGGTCCAGGCGCGGGTACATGGGGACCCAAGAAGCCCACCTACGGCTGTCGGATCCGCGGCGTGAAATTGTGCGAACTGGGTGTTGGCCTCTTCCCCCTCCCTCTCAGTTCCCCCCCAAAGCAGCAACAGCCATTTTATTCTAGAATGACCCTGCGATCCACCCTCCTCCCTTTAAAAGAAAGGGGGTAGGAGGCAGGTATAATTCGCTAGACTAAAAGTCCCGGAGAGGCCACCTCGCCCTGCGTCTGGGATGCGCGTCGTCATGGGAACTGTTTCCGAGATGGAAGGTTCCCTCGCCGCAGCCCCGCGAGACACCGTGCTCCTCCCTAGCACACACCTGTCCCAGGACTTTACCAAGTCCAGCCTTCCGTACTACTCAGAGCCCTTTAAAAATACCTTACAAACCGTAAAACAGAAGGAAAACATCTTGCTCTCGAGTTGCTTGCCTGGGTTGCATTCACCTCAGTAACCTGCAGGATAATAGGAATTTTCAAGTTACTTCACTGTCATGACAACTCATTTTGTTCCAGGTTGCCAGTTTTTTTATTGTAATGGAGTGAGAATGGAAGAAAGGAGTGGGAGGTTACAGCTAGAGTGTGCCCGTTGGTGGGAAGGTAACCCGTGTGGAGGGAGGGCGGGCCAGTGGCCTGGCTGCGCACAAAAGCCTTCAGTGGTGAAAGAATAAAACTGATGCCGCGGAATGATGTGTTATGTGTTTCTTGTTTCTCAGTATGGAGGAGCTCCCGGAGGGCCTGCCTTTCCCGGACAGACTCAGGATCCGCTGTATGGTTACTTTGCTGCTGTGGCTGGACAGGTTAGCTTTTCCCTTTAGTATTAAAGAATTTGTCAGATTCTGCAGTTGTGTTAGCTTCTACTACAGTGGCGCCAAAAAATGAATGTTCCTTTGGAAATGAGACCCATTGCTTCTGCAAAAGAAAAAAGAGAAGGAAGAGTTCTTCATTTCATGTTTTAGTTCTTTATTTCTGAGTATTCAGAACAAATTAAGACAAAGTGTTACTCATATTTATGTTAGTTCAGTTAAAAAGTAAGTTTGTGATTGAATTAGGGTGAGATTGAACAGTATACGGAATTATACATATACTTTAGAGATGTGTAAGGTTGAAAGATGTATTTAGAATTGTGAATTGTCGTCGTCCATGGTGGTTTCAAGAGAAGAAATTCAAGATCTGGTGAACATAAACCCCTATTTGTACAACTTAAAGATGTGTATTAATAATTCTGTAGTCATATTCTAATGGACACTTTCTTTGGGTTGAATTTGATGTTAATCATTTATCCCCTTGGGAAACAGGTATGTGGGGTAAAAACCCACCAGCTTCTAAATAAAAAAAGTTACTACTCTTCTTAGTATCAAGAAGTTAATCTTGTGAATAGGTTAGTTTCTCTTTGATGCAGATGCTGTTACTAGGTCAGCTCTTCTGCGTCCTTATTAGGTGTTGTGGCCTGTTGACCCAGAGAAAGAATTAAGGTCAGCCTCCCAAGACCTTTCACTTCTCTACATTCCAGTTGTATGACAGATGCTGGCTTACCTTGAGGGAGGACACTTCCCTAGCTCACAAGGCCACTGTGTGTGGTAAATACACTGTCAGATAACCCAGACATATCCAGAGAGGGTGTTTGTTGTTATGAATTCAACTTAGTCTTGTTTTGATCAAAAACTAGAAGATAGCAAAATCTTAATGTGAAAACATTGTAGGATATTATGAAATTAAAAACCTAAGACTGCCTTTTAAAGTAACACTCTAAGAAATACAGCTTGAGAAACTGAATGGAAAATTGAATCTAAAACTGGAAGACCTTTCTCTTAAGTATCTGCTTAATCTTAATGATCTGTATCTTTGAAACCACAAGACACAGCAAACCGCAAGACTAGCATTCTTAGATGTCCAGTGCCTCCAGTGTGTAAGTGACCCCACCTGCTTAGCTTTCAGCAGCCCTGGCTTGTATTCAGCATATCCATCCTCTTTCAAAGTATTGATCCCGCTCCTCATTTATAACATAATACCCATCGACTTGAGGATTTAGGTATTTTATTTGAAAAATTCCTAAAAATAACATATATCTAGTTCTGACCTAGTTCAGCCAATGGTGGGCACTGGGAACCTAACCTGTATCTTCCAGATATAATTGTGCTCTGAAGAAACCATTCACCAAATCACAAGAAAAAGTGATCAAGGAGGCCTCTTTCTTTTGAACCAAGCCTTTTACTTACTTATGTCTGCTGTGTACCCTGCTCTCCCCCTCCCCATCAAAAAAAAAAAAATTAGAGAGGAATACAATTTTTAAGGAACTCCATAAATAATTTTATTTTAAAATGCTTAGCTTTGGCAGTTTCCTAGCTCAGACTGAGAGAAGAGTAGTTGCCAGTTCAGACTCTTTCGTCATTAAATTATTTTTAGAAGTAGGATAAGGAAAAGAATGCCCATTTTGGAAGGCATTTCTTTTAAAAAGTCTCATGCATAATGATACTCGTTTTCATTGTTGTTAACTGCTGCATTGAATACAAAATTTGTAAAAGTACAAATCACTATTGTGATTCCTTTTCCTGTTTTTTCCAAAAGGATGGGCAAATAGATGCTGATGAATTGCAGAGATGTCTGACACAGTCGGGCATTGCTGGAGGATACAAACGTAAGTTGACAGTCCCAAAGTTTCTTTAAAAGTATTGTTGTGTTTCATATTTTAGCTGTTCCTTGTGGTCATAGCCTTCTAGAAAACAGCTGTTCTGATCCCACAAAGTTTAGAATTTCAAAAGCAAGATTAGGTTATTATTTCAAAAAGTTCATTTGAAAACAGTTTTTAATAAATCATTCCACTCTATCTGCCAGATTAGTGGATTTCTTGGATTTGGGTTCCATGTATCTGGAACTGTTGGAACCAGTAAGACAGGTAACGTGGCCTCCTTCACAGTGGACAAGTTAAGGTGCTGAAATAAAATCTGCCAGATTAGGTGTCATTAATGATAGGAGCTAATATTTACTGCTGGCTATTTGCTCTGTCCCGAGGGTGGTCGCAGTTAGGGCTTTGGCCAGTCCTGCACCCCTGGTCCCTGCGTAGCCTACTCTGCAGTCCTGGTCTGTGAGCCCTGGACATGCTACTAGCAATATTAATGCTTTCTGTCTTTGCTCTTTCTTTCCCACTTCCTGAATTCCTTAACACTAGTCGTTCTCCTCTCCCTCATCCTCAGTTCCTGGCAGACTGGAACTCCTGCCCTATAATTTGCTGCTTACCCCACCATCCTGCCTTTTGAGCTCTGTGCTCCGAGCTGCAGATACAAAATACTACAAAGATGCTGCATCCCGACTGAGGGCTTCTCATCATCCCCCCCCACACACACACCATGTGCTTTCTCTTCAAATTTGATGTTGACTATGACAGATTTCCATGGTAGACAATAGTATCTTAGCTCAAGTGCATTACCTGCCAACTTCTTTGCCCATTGTTGATTGAGACAGAACATCATATTGAATCCCCCATTTCATAGTAAGCTGTAAATTAAAATGCTGAAATTAGAATTCACACCAGAGGATTAATAGTGGCATTTTTTGACTGTTTGACATGGTATATTTACTAGATTGCTCTCTGAACTATTGCATTTCTGTTTTTATCACCCTTTGTTTTATGTGACTTCAGTATCCTGTTACTATTTTCTAGTTGGGGGAATTAATACAAAAAAAGACCTTTTGAATTTCTGTCATTTAATCTGATCCTAAACAAAAGAAGCACTTTCTAGATTAGGGGATTTTTTTTTTACTGTTGTAGACAATACATTTAAATTGTTAATTGTTAACATCAAGCTTTTGAGCTAGTGAACAAGGAAGGTCTAATAGGGTTTACTAAAGCGAGGTGGTGTCACAACACAGGCTGTTACTCTACATCCTTTCTGTTGAAGAGGTGTGGCAGGTTTTAAAATCTGACTAACAAAGTGGGTGCATATCCTTCAAGAGCAGTCCTTTTAAAAATTTCATTCAAGAAAGCCACATTTAGCGATGGCTTCAGATCGATGCATTGTAGAGAAGACATTTCCCGAGTCATGAGGAACGTGTAATTGAATTGATTTGCTTGCTCCCCTCTGGTGGCTGTGATGAACCGCAAAACCATCCTGCTTGTGAGGCGTCAAGAGGTTTGTGATACAGAAATTATACAGCCATTGGTCTTTTTAACGCAGCTTCCAACCAAAAAGCACAGATCCAAAGAGGGTGGGATACTCCCGCCCAGTACCTATGGGCCCTTCTCAACCAGTTTAAAAGGAAGTGGTCCTACCTAGGGGTGGAGTTGATGAGTGAAGGTGCTGTAGTCTGTAAGACAGTGATTCAGCTTCTCTTTTCTCCTTGAATTCAGTTGTTTTTCTGTGATAAGTTTGAGAGAAACAACCGGGGGTAGGGCTTTCCTGCTAGATCCTTTATACTGTATGCTTCTACACTAGAAGAAAAACTGTTTGAGGAATTCTAGTAGAATGAACAGAAGAGAGGAGAAAGAGCAAAGGTAAAATTACAACAAAGATTCCTTTGAAATTATTTAAAATAGAATTAGCATCAATAAAAGCTATATTCTGGGGGGAAGATACAATTAACAAAATTTAGCAAGAGTTTCCTCACCCAACCTTATTGGACATCAGTGTTCTAGTTCATTAGAACAGTCTGGAATGGTAAATTTTCTGTTTGTTCCCTGCCCTTTCAGATCCTTCTCACAAAAGATGACCAGTTTTCTGATCTTCCTGACATAGGCTCTAACCTCTCCCTCTCCTCCTCAAAAAATCTTTACTAGCTCCTTGGGGCCCATAAAACGAAGGCTTAGTAGGAATTTACCATCCTCTGTAATGCAGCCACATCTAAGCAACCACATTTCCTCCTACTCCCTTTATGCTCTTTGCAGGTCAGATTAAGCTATTTATGTAGTCTTGGCCTGCCCTGGACTTTCTTGTTTCTCCCTTTGCTCATGTTGGTCCTTAGTTGTCACGAAATATCCCCCGTCTTTCCCATCATTAAAGGCTTGGCTTAAGTGCTACCTCTTCTATAAGTCTTTCCTGATTCTCTTACTAGGAAGGAGCCTCTCACTCCTCGATATCTCCTGGTACTTTTTGATGCCTCCCTAATGATTTACCAACTCCCTCCCTTGATTAGAGTTGTATGTGTATCTGACTTATCTTTTCCTTAGACTGTCAGCTAGGGCAGTGTCCGATTTCACATTTGTATCTCCAGAGTTTCTGGTACCCTGAGCCCCGCAAATAGTAAGTACTTAACGGGTGACTGTTGAGTTAATGAATATGAAGAATTTTCTAAAGTGGAAAAATCATAGCCCTATGCCCTTATTGCTATTTCCATTTAAGCTTATACGTTACTTTTAAGTATCAGTAAAAATCAAGATTTTATTCAAAAAATATTTCTCCTTTGACTGAGAGGGGTATACATATAAATGCAGGTTGTACAGCTTCCTGCATAAGGATGAGAATTCAGTCTCATCTGTACGTTCATTCATCCAACCAGCACATTTTTCATGGACACCTGCCATGTGCTAGGTGCTGGACATAGTAAAAAGTACTGGGATAAGTAATGTAGAAGCTATGGGATCACATCAGACAGACCCATACCCCAGACAGTGGTCAGGAAAATTTTCCTTGCAGAATTGATATCTGAACTGAGGAGAAATGAAAGTCGAGCAGAAATGAGGCCAACCAAGAAGTGAGTGGGATGGGGAAGTGGTGTTCTAGGCAGATAGAACATGTGCCAAAGACCCAGAGAGAGCCTGGTTCAGTCAAAGGCACTGCGAAATTCCCCATGAATGAAGAGTAAGAGACAGCTGAACTGGGAAAATGTGTGTGTGACCTTATATGCCACTTAAAGTGTTTGGGCTTTATCCTGAGAACAGTAGAACACCTATACTGGGTTTTATATAGGAGAGCGTGTACCACCCCTGGCTGTATGGTAAACACTAAATTGGGAGGTATGGGAGTAAAATAGGAGTCAGGGAAGCGACAGTGGGGCTGGAAGTGGATCCTAAAGCTGTTCGGAAGGTGATTGATGATCTGGAGAGAGGGAACTGAGGATGCTCCCAGGTTTCTGGCTTCGATGACTGCTGAGTGGATGGTGGTACCCTTCATAAGACTGAGAGACAGAGAAGCTGTCTGCCTCATGGCCCCTCAAAAACCTTGATGGAAGCCAACACTATCGGCTCTGTCCTTTAGTTGTCAGAACATCTAGAGCGGTGGTTCTTAAACTTTAGCAGCATCAGCATCACCTGGGAAAGCTAGCAAAAACCAGATTGCTGGACTCCACCCTAGAGTTTCTCATTCAGGAGGTCTGGGGTGAGACCTGCAAATTTCATCTCTAACAAGTTTCCATGTGATTCTGGCCCAGGTAGAACGACTTCCTTTAATGTGAATATGCAAGTATATCACCTGGGGATCTTGTTAAAATTCAGATTCTGATTTTATCAGTGTAGGTGAAGGGCTGAGATTCTACAGTTTTAACAAGCTCCAGGTCACACTAATATGGTTGATCCAGGAATCACACTGTGAGTAGCATGGAGGTCTTTTAAAGCTTCTGGGTGATTCTGATAAGCACCTGGGTTGAGAACCCGGGTCCAGATTAGAGGGACTTCAGACCTCCACACAAGTTAAAGGTCAGAATGAAGAATGGACCAGCCCTTTCTCAAAAGTGTAGCAAAGTGTTTCCTCCTCTCATCTCAGTAAATTATATCTGTAGATCATATGGATATTGAAGGACCAACATAGAAATAGTCCCCATTCTTTTATTTCCAGTAAAGGATATGCCAAACACAGGAATCTTAAATGTGGAAAACCCATGGTTTGTACTGTTTAGAGACGTTACCGTAATAAAAGTTAGCTCAGTTGTGTTTTAACTTCTGTTTGGTTAGAGGAAAAAGATGAAGCTAGAAAGAGCTATAAAAAATGTTTGTTCTGCATGCATCTTAAACTTGCAGAATTGATACTGGCTTTTCCCAGATGATCCGTTTCACTTCTGCCTTCTAGCCTTACAGTTTCTTTGTACCTATGCAGAATTTCCTCAGAGTCATTGATTCCCATTAACACATCATAAAGTGCAAGGAGTTTCTTTATTTTTAATTTCCTAATGCTTAGATGGGTCACCAGTATGCCACACCCATTGGGTGTGTTCTTGTCTGGTTGGATAAGTGAGGTAGGAAAATGCCCTCAAACACTCCCAAATTATAGGGAAACTAAAAAAGGCTTCTGAACAATAGCCACCACTGAATTGGTCATTGGTTTTTTTTTTTTTTTTACTTAACACACAATTCTAACAAGCATATTTTTATGGTTTATATTATATATGAGCTTGTTGTATATGAAAAGAGCTCATAGACTGTTTGAGGTAGGAGGTGACTGCTGAATGCCTGGCATTAAAGAGAAAAGACAGAAAAACAAATGATAGACACAAAACTAGCAATACCAGCTATTTATAGTCATTTATGAGTAGGAATCAAGGAACCCTGTCTTCCCAACCACCATGGTGAATATGATACATTATGGTTTATTGTGGTGAATTGAACTCATTATATTACAGTTTTTTAAAGGCTAGAAAGTATTAACAGTATAATGCAATACTTTTTAAAAATATTGCTGTTAAAGTTGTTAAAATCAGATTTGGCTTCTAGAAGGAATCTTTATGTGGAAAAAAATCTACTCTGAAGTTCCATATAACTTAGTCCCACGTAAACTGAGTAGCATATAAAAATAAAAGTATGTAAATAATCACATTCCTAATTAATATGAATGTAATCAATGTAATGTGAATTTCTGAAATTGTATTAATGTGTATGTACTTTTCTTAAATTAACAGCTTTTAACCTGGAGACTTGTCGGCTTATGGTTTCAATGCTGGATGTATCCTTTACCTTGATGGTTGTCTAGAGTGTTTTTTCTTGGCAAAAAAATTCCTTTCAAAGAATTCATCTCAGAATTAATATCCAGTAAACACTAAGTGACAAATGACCACTAAAAAGCTAACTGAAGTAATTAGCTTTTAGGATGTAATTTGGTGTGAAAAAGGAAGGAAGTTTAGTAAGTAGAACGATCGTGGTTCAAGAATTTGAGGAAGCGTCAAAGTAGGACTAGTATAGACCAGTGTCAGGAATGCATTTTTTCTTTAACATGGATTGCTCTGCATGCTTCACACCTGACCTTCAAGTGATGAGATTTTTTATATCACAGTTCCTGGACTCAGTTTAGCTAGTGCTGACCCTTATGATGCTTTCCATCCCCTCTCATTTTCCAAAAGTGCAATCCTTGGGTCTCAGAGGGCTTAGCAAGGGAATGTTAGGACCAAAGAGGATCCTAGAATGGAAGAGTAAATGGCATAGCCTGGGGCACCCAGAACATGCAGCCCAGTTCCAGTAACAAGACTGCTTTTTACATGTGGCTCAGAATGGTGATGTTATTTCCCTGTAATCAGATCACATAGGTTATCTTTTCCCCACTGTAAAAATAGGTACTCAGAAGTTTTTCTCATAGGCCCTTTTTATGATATCTTTTTTTCATCATTAATCTATCTTTTTTATTATATCATACCAAGAAGAATGTACAATAACTTTTTAAACCAATTTTAACAGAAAAAACATTAAATTCCCTTTATTCTTGATCTTTCATTTAATTATTAGAAAATTTTACAAAATAAAGAAGCTCTGATCCTTAATTGTAGTACAGAGAGATATGTCTGGCACGATGGGTTTCAATGAATTTAAAGAACTCTGGGCTGTACTAAATGGCTGGAGGCAGCACTTCACCAGTTTTGACAGCGATAGGAGTGGAACAGTGGATCCTCAAGAACTGCAGAAGGCCCTGACAACCATGGGTGGGTATGGCTAACTAGAAGTCTCCATTCACTGAGAGATGTAAGTTTGGTTTTTTTAATTTCTAAAAGTAAGTGCCACTTGAAGGCAGTTAATCTGTTTCCTTACAAATTATATGTGTTCATAATTAAAATGTGTTTGCAGTCTTAAAAAATCGGCTTAATAGTCTTTCTTGCCATCCTCTAACTTTTTCTGTTGATTTTTTTCCTTTTCAGGATTTAGGTTGAGTCCCCAGGCCGTGAATTCAATTGCAAAACGATACAGCACTAATGGAAAGATCACCTTCGATGACTATATCGCCTGCTGCGTCAAACTGAGGGCTCTCACAGGTGTGTTCCGTGAGGTCATGTCATCACCATGAGCCAAGAAGACAGTTTTTATGACATTTCATTTCTCAGTGCTTCTTAGCCTTTATTCTCCCCATTCAGCTTTTTCCCCTTGCGTTTAGTAGGTTTTTAACATTGCTGTGGAGCATATCTAGCAGGATGATTTTGGTTTTTTCAGAATTATTTTTAGATTAGTAAGTAATCGGCCATTAAAATAATCTTAACTAAATTTTACTAAAATGTCCCAAAACATAACCAGCTAATTTGTGCAATTTTGATCAGATTATGAGTGATTTCACCCTAGAATGTGAAATATTTGAAGAGTGAAATTAAAGTAAATCCATTTCAATAGAGCAGAGCTGAAATGTTTGGAATATTTGATCACAGCCTATTTTTTGTATTAGGGACTCTATCCATCTGTTTCCTAATTAAGTAATACCTGTGTTGTTACAAATTTTGAAATTCTGTGCTTTCGTCACAACTAAGTAACGGCCTCATAAGTTGTGCAGCTTTTACTGACTTTGGGATAAGATATTTTCTCCCAGTTCCATGTTGAAAAAGACAACTGACCAACTTCTGCCTATTTTATTACTTTGTTGCATATTAAATCTTTTAATATTCATATAGTTGGCTTCTTTGCTTTGGTATTTTGTTTATGTAGACTAGTTCTACAATTTAAATGTTACTGCTATCTGATTAGCTTAGCTGGTTAGAGCACAGTGTTATAACACCAAGGTCAAGCATTTGCATACCCGTCCCAGCCAGCCTCCAAGGAAAAAAAAATGTTACTGCAGTTTAAACCCAATGCCAAAAATAATTAACTATGTGATTTTAGAAAAACCATTCAAAGAAAAACAACGAATTTTACTGTTGTTTTACAGACAGTTTTCGAAGACGGGATACTGCTCAGCAAGGTGTTGTGAATTTCCCATATGATGATGTAAGTCTCAGTAAATTAAGAGCCATGTAGATGGGTAAGATGAACACCAGACGGGCATTCGTACTGAAGTTAGCTGTTAAGAACATCTTGCAGATGCCAGAGTTTAATAATCAGGAGTCACCATCCAGACTTTATTAATTTAATGTGTTATTAGACTTATCCATAGTTAGACCACTGTTTGATTTGTATGAAAAGATGTGGGATCAAGGCCCAGCTTGTTGTATTTATTAGCTATGTCATGTAAGCAGGTTTCTTAATTGCTCTGAGACTGTTTGAATAAAGAGGATGTAGTGATAATACTTTCTTCACTGGGCTCTTGTAAGATTTCAATTAGAAATGTCCTTGAACAACACTATGCAGATATTGCATGGTATCGTGTCTGCTTCTGCGTTCCATGAACAGATCAACTCAGTCATTGAGTTATAGCGTTCATAGCTCAGAACTGTACTTTGCACACCTTTGTTCTTTATTGAGGACATAAGGCAGGCACCAACTTAAATCACAATTTAAACAAGCTATTTACTAAACAGCCACACTAAATGAGGTGGGATAAGGCTTCATAACTGGTGTGAACATAACCACGTACCATTTTTTAATGACATTAGTTGGATGTACATAACAAAGCTAGGAGATGTTATTTCTCTATTTTTTGCTTTGCTGTTGATTTTTAAAAATCATGTTTGAAATTGAAACCACTGTAATCACTGAGTATTCAAGAATGTGTCTCCATTACACAATAGAAAGATGCACATATTTTGGTTTAGCAGCTGCTGCAGTTATGAGTACACTTTTAAAAGGCTTTGTGTATGCGTTTGTGTGGAAATATGCGTATTTCTTCTGCTTAAAGGTACATTCTCTTTAGTTTGTATCAACTTCTCAGTTGATATGACCATGGCAGCCTGGGGAATGGAAAGAGCATGGGCTTTGGCCTCAGACGAAGCCACTTAAGAGATTTTTAAATGTCCTGATGCTTAGTTTCCTTTTCTCTAAAACAGGGATAAATCAGCTTGGCCTTGTGGAAAAGCTGCATGGTTTAGCAATACACAGTGCCTTACTGGTGCTGGGAGAGTAAAAAAGAAAACTGATGTAAAGAGCAGGGTCTAGTGCTGTGTGTTTAGTGGGGAAGCCAACATTTCACAGCAAATACCAGTGCCTCTAAACTCAAGTTTCTGCATTGCCAGTGAAGGGTCAGCTCTTCTGTTTCTGTGCATACATATATTTGCATGCTAGGATTTATTTTAATAGAGCAGATTTTAAGGGGATAAACTGTTTATAGGTGCTCTGTTAGATTAGTGGGATAATAGCGTGCAGTTTGGAAGTCCCCACCTGATACAACAGTATAAACTCCAGTTACTTCTGTTAGTGGGTAAGTATACCATTGACCGTGACCATTCTAGTGTCTGATATTATTTAGAATTTAAATAATTCTTTATCCATTGGAGTAATATCTGCTTCTTGTAAGAAGTTTTGATATGAGAAACCCATTGGGTTTTATATTAGACCGCTTTCATAAAGAAAATGAACCTTTCCGTCTATCATTTATTCATGTCTTAGAAACTTAGGTTTTTTTCAATCCATAATTCAAATTAGAAAACCAAAATGTAAGCTGTCTAAAAATAGGCTCTCTGTCCTAAGTGTTTTGAGGTCTGTAGTATAACACTGACTTTGCTCTTTCAGTTCATTCAGTGCGTCATGAGCGTTTAAATCAAGAGGAAGCTGCATGAACGTGCGACATTCCAGCTGGAGCTCTCCCGCTCTTCTCACTGCCGTCAGTCACGTGTGTCAACTTACAGCACCACTGTCCCTGAACAGTGGTTGTAGAGGTTGATTACTTTATGCACAACTGAAGTCTTGTTCTTAGTTTCGATAATAAATTCTTTGGAACTTTAATAATATAAGATTAAGTCTGTTACGCCATTTAGAGCTATCATCAATCATGCCTTATTCTCCTGCTAAACCTCTTATGTAAATTTAAGTATGCAAAATGCTTAAAGCGCATTATATATTTTTCATTGAGATGCTATAAACTTTTAATCAGACTACAGCTGTTATCTTTCCTCTCCTAGAAGAGCTTTAATGTGATATTGCAAGTTTTATGTGTGGAGTATTAGACCCACTTGGATGCCAAAACAAACAAACGTGGTAATCCATATCAGGGTTCACCTTAGAAATTTAGCACAGGCTTTAAGACTTACAGATTTTTTTTTTTTTTTTTTTTTTGTCTTTTTGTCTTTTTTCCGTGTCCGGCAACGGATCGCAACCCTCAGTGTTGCCCCCATACCAGACCGGGGACCAGCAACGGGATCGCAACCCTCGGCGTTGCTCCCACGCCTCGCTCAGCCAGTGAGCGGGAACCGGTCTGTATGTGGGATCCGAACCCTTGGACGGGAGCGCCACCGCGCTTCCCAAGCGGCGCACTATCCAGTGCGCCACCGGGCCGGCCCGTGGACTTACAGATATTTTGATGGTCCTATGAGTGGACAGGGAACGTGAGTGATTATTTTCTGCCTCTTTAAAACCTATCGAATAATTCGAATGGCAAGTACTGTTTGTCACCAAGTTCTTTGTCATCATCCACGTAAACCTTCATTCACTACTTTTAAATCTTGTACATCATAAGCCTAACTATGTAAAAAGAAAATTGATAGAAAAAGACTAGGGGAATATACAAAAATATTAGTTATGGTTGCTTTTGGCTAATGGGATTCTAGGTGATTATAATTTCCTTTACACATTTCAGAATTTTCCAAATTTTCTATAATGTGTATGTTCTCCTTTTAAAATCAGAAGATGTTAACTTTTAGAATATTGATATATCCATTTGATATTCTGTGTGTTCACACTTTAAAAAATACACACAGCAAAAGGACTGGAAAGAATGGACCAAAGTGTTCCTCTCCCTACCACTGGGAGTCAGGATCATGAGTTCGTTTTTTTTCCATTCTGCTTCTTTTCCAAATTTTCTATAATAAGCAGGTATTATATTTCTAGTGGAAGAAATTTCTAAAAAGTTTTAAACCATAGGCTTTCAAGTAAGAACTGGATTCTAATGCTAGCTGTGCCTCTTACTGTGTAGTTTGGTCATTTTAGATAACCTCAAAAGTCTAGTTTCCCCATCTTTGAAAAGGAGATAATACCTACCTCTTGGGGTAGTTCTGAATTTGAAAAAGTGTGTTGGTATAACAAGCACTAACAAAATCTCTGTTTCTTAAATTTAAAACTAGCCTTGTTTGCCTTTTTATTTTTGTTGCAAGAGTGCTTAACTGATAAAAAATGGAATTAGTCTATTTTCTCCTTGCCAGCACAGTATCTGTCTTACTTTAGGGCACAATGTGAAAGTTACTATTCAAGTGAACAATTAGTTGTCAACCAATGAAAATAAAACATTTTTCTAAGCATTTTGAGCCTCGTTTCACTAATATAAGTGTAATTATTTTTTCAGATACTGCTAAAATACATATATTCAATCATTTAATATTTACATATTAATCATTTTAATAAAACATTTATTCAACCCTAACTTATAATTACATCTTCATGTCAAGACATGATGCCCAGGTTACATATCACAGTGAAGCGGGCTGCTGTATATTGCTTGGTAAGTCCAGGTTTCATCCCAAATATAGTGTCTATGAGGCCACAAAGATTTGCTTGAGCCTGGGCTGTCCAGAAAAAGGGCCAAAGGGGGCTTACCTTCAGAGTCCCAACACTGTTTGGCCTAAACTCACCAGGATCCTCGAGGAAATCATAGTTTTGGGAAATGGTAATTTCCTGGATGTGTATAACCAGTAAAGAAGGCCCTTGCTGACCCAAGGTTATGGGCCATATTCAAACCATCCTGTTGCTTTGATAAGTCCCAAGGTGTGCTGCACCCATTATAGGTCTGAATTTGCTTTTGGGTAAGCGCTAAAGTGTTATGAAACCCCACCTCTGGAATCACTCCGTAAATTCAGTTGGGTTTTTTTTTTGTTTTTGTCCTTTTTGAGACCGGCCACACCGCGCTCGGCCAGTGAGCGCTGTGAGCGCACCGGTCATCCCTATATAGGATCCGAGTGCGCCACGGGCTCGGCCCCAGTTTTAATTATTGATACTTCGAAGCAAGTCTCCTTATCTCCTCCACTTCTGCTTTCAGTGTTTCTTTACAATAGCATGGAGCTTAGTCTTCAGTATGTCCCTGCAGTTAGAAAGTTTCCTTCCCCTTGACAAATTTGACGTATCCATCCCCTTTCTTTAATTATAGCCAAAGTCTTCATTACCAGTGAATCTCGTGTTCATTTCAGTTTTATATTGGATTCTGTGTTTTCATTCATTGTGACTTCCAGTACAGCCCCAACCACTTGTTCAAAAGTCTTTCTTGGTGTGTTTGTGTTTGTGTTTTCTTAAAGCCATCTGGTTGGAGCAAGATAAAGCTGTGAGCTCAAACCTGAATACTTCAATTAGTTGGAGAATTAAGTTTCTCAACTCACCCCAACTTGGGATTTAATTTTATTTTGGAGATGTGTGCTTTAGTTTGTGCTGAATTCAAGAGATTCATGATTCACAAGGTACTTACAACACATTTCACACACTTCCATAGGAATGTGGCTGCCAGAGGCCTGGTGCTATAATTACTGATTGGTGTACAGTTGGAGGCAATTGGCATATATTTGCCAACAGCAGTCAAATTAAAGTTCTCACTCCTATTGAGCCAAATTGTAGTTCAGACTCCACTTGAGCATGGGGTTCCAGGTGGTACCATTAGTCTGAGATGGCATATGAGCTAAAGTTTCTGTTTCTGAACTAGACTTTGACTCAACAGAGTGTTACTTTTTCAGTGTTCATCCAAATGAATTAGTATATGCCTAAAATATAAATACAAGAAATGGAGCTATACGTAATCACCATAAATTTTTTTTAAATCTCAGTAAATACCCAAATGCTTCATCAATGACTTCCTTCTGCTTTTCTCATATTAAAACAGTACCCTGGGCCAGCCCAGTGGCGCACTGCTACAGTGCGCCGCTTGGGAGTGCGGCGGCGCTCCCGCCGAGGGTTCGGATCCCACATACAGACCGGTTCCCGCTCACTGGCTGAGCGAGGTGCGGGCGCAACACCGAGGGTTGCGATCCCATTGCCGGTCCCGGTCCAGTACGGGCGCGACACTGAGGGTTGCGATCCATTGCCGGACACAAAAAAAGACAAAAAGGAAAAAAAAAAAAAAAACAGTACCTTAACTACTTTCTTCCTCTGCAGTGAAGACAAGGAAATTACAAATGCTGGGATAATGACTGGCAGGTAAAATGGCTCCTTGGGAATAGATGAAAAGACCACTGTCAAACAGTTTTTAGGCAATGAACTCATGAACCTAAACTGAACCCATCCAAGGATCAATGCTTTAGAATCTAGCACAGGTTAGTTTATTAAATAAGAACCACTGCCTGAGCTATATAGGACAGGATTTAGGAAATTGATCCTCATTAGGGTGAGGGAAAAAGTGTTCATGAGGCAAGGCAGGTAGATACGTAGAGGAAACTTCACCTGCCACCCAGATGAAACTCCGAAAATTGAACACTCAGCCTTTACTGAAGGACTGCTGTATTTTTCATCATGTTAATGGTGTCTTTTGGGACAGCATGGAACAGAAAATGAAGAAACCACCACCTAATAGTACCCCCACAAAGCTTCTGAAAGAAACTATCTGGTAGGAAAAAAAAGGATTAAAGGGAGTCATGCATCAAAATAACATAAATCTTTTATTGAAATTCACTTTATTGATATTACAATGAATAACATAGAAAATTGTGGTATCTTATTTGCAGAAGTGAATACTAATTGTGCCAGAAATTTGAACGTCAAGTTACAGTGACCTTTAAAAAATCAAAATTTTGTTTACCTACAATGTCAGAACAATTTTATTATAACTTGAACAGCCATAAAACAAATCACGCTTGCTCAGGAAAGCAGTCGCCATATATATTTCACTTGGCATTTGCCAAAACTCAGTTATTTTAAAAATTGCTTAGGAACCTGAAGTGCGGACTAGCAGAATGTTACAGTGATACACGTCTAAGTATATACGCATGATTACCTGCTTACTAAGAGCGAACCCATGCTGCTAGTAACACCTCCCCACAGGGTGGCTTCCACCATCTGTAGATGGACATCCCCGTTGAAGATGAGATGTGGAAACACCACAAGTGTAAGACCTACACTGGCTAACATAGAAACTGCTACGTTTAGGGAGAACACCCAGTTTCTGAAAGAAGTTGTCTTTTAGGGATATTAGTGTGGAGTGGCAAGTCTTTCAACAAGTTAAAAAAGGAGTACATGCGTACTTATCCTGAATAAACCTTTTGTTAAGCACTTTTGCAGATAGTGTAAAAAAGAAAAGTTCTCCGTACAAAAAACAAAGGTGTTGGGTCATTTTTACTTATTAAAAAGTAACTGGTTGTAGAATCAGCTTGATTTTGTGCTGGATTAAAAAAGAAAAGTGGGGTTTCTAAACAGGCAGTGATACACAGGTATAATTTAGAAGAAACTTGTATTATTACTAAGTGTATTAATTCATGTCAGCACTTTCTGTGTTGTGTTATCTGGTATAACTTAGCACCGCTATATTTAAAGATTTGGGGCTATTTGCATTATTTTAGAGCTTAACCATCAAAACACAAGTCACAGCCTGAAACATAAAATAAGAGGCTAAGTCCTAAAATGAATGCATATTAGCAGTATTTTTTTAACAAGAGGAAAATACTCTTTTCTTCATGTGCTCCTAGAAATTTTGTTGATGATTTTATATGCACATTATCTTAATAAAATTGCTCAGTCTCATTGTATACTTTTTGTAAAACAGAACAAAATGCACATTTTGTCTGGTTTTGATTTTAAGGATACTTAGGAACATGAAATGATGATGTCCCTGACCAAAGCCCTGGCAGCCTTGAAGCACCTCCTAGAATGATACTGGTTCTATGAACAGTGCAAGAGACACGCCAGGCAGGAGAGACCAGCCCATGGTGGACTGGAACATGAAGTATTCACAGAGCCCAAACTCAATAAAACTGCAAAGCACAGTCTGTCTGAGGCACCCAGCACTGTCTCCCCACCACACCTCCAGGGACCATCTGTGCTCTCCTGCACACTTGGCTTCGGGCTCTTCATGTGGATGTCCGTTCTACTCCCGCACCAGGACTAAATGCCCCACAACCTCCCAAAGCTCACTGCTTCTTATCTCCTCCCCATCCTGAAATTCACACCTTGAGGACTCATCTCTCAGTGACTTCCAAAGTTGCATAATCCATGCCAAGTGCCAATGGGAGAAAATTAAATATGTCTCCCACCCCTGCTATGCTTCCCTAGGGTCCTCCAAAGTGCCAATCTAGCCAAAGAAGAGACCAACCTCCATGACAGTGAAAGTTCCTAGTCAAGAAGAAAGGGCTGCACGGCTGGTGAAGGGGGAGCCTTTTTGGAAGTAAGAAGTTTCTGGAAGCACCCCTTAAATCTCACAGTGAGGATGCTTACTGTTTGTCAGGCCATAGATATAAAGGACAGAAATACTAACTGGGCAAGTTTTTGTTTTTTAATGTTTGTTTTGTTTTTCTGCTTACAAACCGAATCGGAAGATGATCCATTCTGGTGCTCTGACAAAACAATGAATAAAACGTGAATAAAAATACTGTCTTCTGCTTTCTAAAGTCTCACTGCATCTTTGTTTGCTCTGCATCTGCAGGTGTGGTAGAAAAGCTGCTCTTGAAATTAAAAGCACCTGCCTCCCAGAGCATATGCCACGAGCATGTGCCAACAGTTCCCAGCAGGTGGACTTTCACAGCAGGCTGCACGGCAGGGAATGGCTGCTGCCTCTCAGCCCATTTTCACAAGAGCGGACTGGGCGCCTCACAGTACAATAAACGGGAAGCTGTTTATCAGTCCGTAGTTCTCCCAGGACAGGACAAAAGTTGCTGCATCCAAAATCAGAGTAGTCTACAATCAATTATGTTTCAATTAAAAAAAAATCTGAGTAATCTTATTCATTCGGAAATATCTCAAATGTCTTATTTGATCCCCAAATTAAGCACTATTCCACAGAATGTTTTCTGCTTATATATTTTAAGCTAGCAGAGTGAGAATGAGAAAATCATCTTGACACCATATATTTAAGAGGGAAAACAGTATTTAGGTGGTAATTTTAGAGGAAAAATAAAAAGATAATTAGGAACATAAAAAGTAGACATTATACTGAAAATGGGAATCAGAGAGTTTCATGGGAAATTGATGCCAATCTACCAACCGGTAGGATGGCAGATAAAATACGCTGCCCACACGGGGCGTGTGGGGGCAGCAGCCAGCGCTGTCCTGAGCAGGCTGCTGTCTCGCCTCTTTCACTCCTGTCAGTTCTGGATTTCGTTCTCCCCTTCCCATACACTGTGCAAGCTACTCAGCATCTTCCTACTAAATTCCCTTTCCTTTAAGTAAAATAAAGTAGAATAAAAGTCTTTTCTTTAGATAAGGATTTATTATCATGTTGAATAACATAAGGAAATATTTAAAGCACTATATATATTTAAGGTTAAAATAGAACTACATGACAACAGGAAATGAATGGATGAAATAAATTAATGAATAAACTTGATTTTGAAATGCTGAAAGAAGTGAATAGAAATGCCGTATTTCCTCTGGCCCAAAGGTGACTGTGAAAAAGTAAAGAACATAATCCGGAAAAAAGTAACAAGTAGCCATAACAGATCTGGGACAATGGACAGGACTAAATTATGCAAATATGCAAGGGACTCAACAGAAAAGGATGAGAAATGTAAGCCTGTTGAGGAATTCAAACATATATAGTCCTTCTCTGGAAGTAGACAGAATATCTGATTTTATCCTTCCAGCAACTTCTTACAGAAACCCTATCAATCTTACTTTCAGAAATTCTGTGCTGGACTGACCTTATGTACAAACACAATTTCAAAAGCCTTTTTAAAACAAGAGGGGAAAAAGAGAGAGAAAAAATGTAGCATAACTTAAGCACCAATATCAAACTAAAACATAAGTTTGGCATTTTAACCCCACACTTGCTTTATTAGTCAACATTTTTTTAAGGAAGAGCTCTAAAGACAGGTTATTCCTAATCAAGGCCCTGGGTTTCTTTTAAAATACAGCGGCTACAGACAATTGAAAACCCTCATTATACTGCACTGTTTTGTTAATAAATCAGAAGTACTGATTTATTCCTTTCCCCGGACTGCACGTGACCTGGGAATCATTTTCTAGCTTGCAGACTCCGAAGGAGGGTGCTACTTCCCATGTACAGAAAGAGTGGAAGCAGAGGACAGTCCACCAATCCATCCCTTAAGTGCTTCCTGTAGCTCCCTTGTTGACATTTAGTGGAGAGATTAAAATGTTCCCTTAAATCAGGGTTTACTGCACTGTAATGACTAGGGGTAAATGGAACATCTCAGGCAGCAGGGATGTCAATCTGAAGTCTTATCTATGCAGAACACATTCAGTGCACATTAAAGTGATCTTGGTCAAAGGTCACTTTATTTGCAACATCTTTCAATCTGTCTGCCCTTCTGTCCTTGGCTTGAGCTATGTGGCAAAACTTTAGAAAGAGGAGAAAAGGCATACGATGGAACATAAAGGCCAAATAACTGCTCTCCTCTACTTAGTAATGATCCTGTAGTGGACTGGGGGACATAAATATTAGTTGCACAATACAAACTGCTATGTGACCTCAAAGTTTTTCTTCAAAATAGATATTTAAAAAATAATAATAATCCTGTGCTTGTATTTAGGGTCCATTCTATCTACCTCAATGGATGAAAAGTCATAAATAAATAGATGTAATGCCTCTAGAATGCCGCCATGAGTACTCATAAAGATACTGCTTGGAACTATCTATTGAGACTATAAATTTGTCAAAGCATTCCACAAACAGCTCTAATAATGTTCAAACATGAGAGATAGAGTAGATGCCCAGAATGGAACATTAAAGCTATTTCTAAAATCATAATCTCTGCAAATAAAAACACTTATTCAGTTCCACATGAAAGTTATTACCAAGGAGGATGATTATAAACTACTATGTATACCTTTAGAGCAACCATGTCTTCCAAATAGGTATGTTATAATGTTTTCATTTAATAATTCATTCAAAAGTAATTTCATTTAAAAATAATTGAGAAAATGAGGAAAGATGGGTAGGTAGAAAGACAGGTAAATAGAGATCTGTTGACTACTTAGCTAGCCATTTGTGGATTCTTTCAAATCAAGGCTAGTGTAATGGTAATTAAGAAGCATATTTACATGAGGCACCTTACGTTCAAATCTATAAATTCTTTTATAGTCAAAATAAACCTTATAACATTAGCCTTTTATATACTCAATACCAGAAAACATTCAGTGCACATTAAAGTGATCTTGGTCAAAAAATCACTTTATTCGCTACATCTTTCAATCTGTCTGCCCTTCTGTCCTTGGCTTGCACTATGTGGCAATGATGCCCAACACTCCCCCAAACCTTGGTCTGATGGATTGTTGATAGTGTAGTATCAACAATCACGTCCCTTCCTGTCATGAAAAACGCCACTTGACACTGTATAATTTTGGATGAATGAGTAAACTGCTTTTCAAATATTTTCAAAGACTTTCAGAAGAGAGGTCCATTATAGAAGACATAAACACACAGAATAAACATTGACTTCTCACTTGGCCCTTCGTTTGGGCATCTAAGATGATAACACATAGAGATGAAATGGATTTTGTCTGTGGATACTGCTGAAAGAGATAAAATATAGAGGGCAGTTCTGAAATCTTGTCGGCAGATTTTGTTCCTCTCAAGAAAAAGTGGAAATCAAAAGTATACTTCACAGCAGACCATTTGATTGATCCCATCAGTTGTGAACCTCACTAGGGTAGCTTTCTTTCAGCAAGACAGAGCTGCATGATAACAGCTATCAAACTTTGGTTTTAAAGAAGAGGCTTTTAACATAGAATTCTCATTTTTCTATGAATTAAAAACACATAGGGTTCAAAACATCAGGTTTGTCCCCTTGCCAGCTGTGTGGGTAACTTCACAGTTGCTGCGTCTTTGTGGCTTTCGATTTCTTTTAACCCTTTATTACCTGTTGAGTCTTCCCAGCTCAGATAGTAAAACCTTCCATCTTCTTGCTTCAAAGTCACTGCAGAATGACCTGTTGGGACTCACATCCCAGTGATGATAAATGTTCTTAATAAACAATGTAAAAGTTGTTTTTCTTCAAACAAGTTATTCATTTCACAGATAAGGATGGCTAGAAAGATCTGTCAAGGAACAAAAACTTCAGGCCACCAAGGGTTAGAGTATTGGCAAGTTGGAAGCTACAATTCACCAGCAGCCCATGGTCTCCTTGTCTTTGGTGCACTTGCTTTATCTCAGCAGGACACACTGCTGGGGGGCGCCCTGGCCTCCAGGGTGAGGTACGCTCTGGTACTGAGAGATAACGGCTGCTGCAGCAGGCACCGTACGCCCCCAGAAGGGAAGTGGACAGGTGGGATGCTTCCCAGGGAGCGGCCGGTCAGTAACAGAGGATCTCGAGGCAGCACAGAGACTGCACCGCTGAACTTCTGCTTCATCGAGCAGTAGAGGCCAGAAGTTTTGCTGGGCATCTTGTTCTTTCACTCAATTGATTACTCAATAAAACTGCCTCCAGACTGTGCACAGTTTAAAGGGAGAGCACATGTTTTGGACAAATACCAATTATGGAGAGACAAATTTACAGCACTGACCACTATATTTACATCATCTGCTTAGAATCTTTTAAGACCACTGGATGGATGATGATGATGTGATTGTGACTGTTTTTAGGCATTTGGAAAAATACACTTGTGTGTAACAGCTGCTTTTTTTTTAAATTTAAAAATGTTTACATATGTACAATTGTCCTTGTATGCTGATATAAATATGAAAAGTAAAAAAACAAAAACAAAAATAAAAATACATGTTTAAAGTTAGCATATGGGATATTGGCCTCTCAAAGCTTTAAAGTCCTGCAGAAAAATCCTATATGCTTTAGCCCTGCATGCTAGTATCTATTATGGGATGTTGTTTCTTTAAATGTGGAAAACAAGAAACAGAAGCTTCATGCATATAGCATTACTGTTTACAATGAGGATGTGCTTCAGAATGTCCAGTTCTGAATCCACTATTGTCCCTTAGGAAACTTGCTACATTTGGGTCATGAGAGTTAATTTTACTGATATTTCTACATACATCTGTCATGCAGATTATCCACTAACGTACCAGTGCCTTTACTGTTCCATGTTATAGTGTAACATTTCAGTAGTTCTTTTCATGGTTCAGTTAAATCCTAAGCCCATGACAAGAAGAGAATGGTATCCAGATGTGGGATTTGGCTTCCTCTCCTTTGTGGCATCTCAGAGGGTCTTCGTATTGTCTGAAGAGCAGATAGATTTGCAGTGATTCCGTGAGGCTGGGTTTCTATAAAAGTTGAAGTAAACAGTTTCCATGTGTCACATGTAAACAGTGGATCTTAAATGGATGTCTCCCATAGCTGCACAAGAGAGAAAAGCAAAATTGCACATTGTGAAAGCAGGAAGCAGATTATGAAGATGAGAATGTTTCAGTGATTCCACCCTTATATATGCGACTGTGGATGCACACTCTTGCAAAGTCTAAGAAATGGATAAAACAAACACTCCAACGTTTAGCTCTCTTTCCTCTACACTTGTCTCAACCTTTTTAACAACTGCTACTTTTTGATATAAAAAATTTCACATCCACATTTAATGTTACTTAAAATTTTGAATAAAGTATATATTTTGTCTCAGATGAAATAAAATAACTTAAAATATCACTTTTTTTTTAGCTACACGTGCCCTTTTTTCCCAAGGTTCCTGACACAGCCAGCTAGAGCAGTAGCTCTTGCCCCTGCTGCACAAAACGTGATCTGGGAAGGCTGTAAAGATCCCACTGCCCAGGCAGCACATGAGACCAATGAACTCAAAATCTCTCTGGGTGGGACTCAGGCGTTAGAATGTTTTTAAAACTCTTCAGATGGTTCTCATGTGCAACCAAGGCTGTACCACTGACCTCAGCGAAGTGTGACTCCATCAATACCACTACCCATTTAAAAATCACTGTCTCCAATCCATCACAACCTCCTGAAAATTGTTCTCTCTCAGGAGCTGACATACCAGAGTAGAAGGACGTATTCAGGGCAGGATGTCCCTTCCTTAATTCCCTCACCCCTTTCCTCTCCTTGCTTCTGCTACCAGTTCTTTATACTAATCCTGTTCAGATCCGATTTCTGCAATGTTCAATTATCATCTTAATAAACTGAAAACTTTGGCACGATCATATATGCATGCAACTCAGTTCACCAGAAAAGAAAGGCCAATTAAAAAAAAAAAAAATCAAGCTGATGAAATAGGTTTCCAGGCAGTATGATTGGGGTATAATTATTATAAACATGAACAACAAAAGCCTATGACCATAGTGACTTAGGTTATAACCAATTTCTACCCAAATTCCATTTTTACTTGACATTTGGGGCATTTCATTGTATATATAATGAGTTTCTGGGAAAGAAAAAGGAGAAAAAGCCAACTGACTCAGTAGATGTTCCTATATAGGTTCCTTTAATATGTTTTCTCAAATCTTCATGAAAATCTTGCTCTGAATTCCCATGTTGGCTTACCCCAGAGGGTGTGGTAAAGCCACTTGTGCTCTCTACCTTAGATCTGCTTTATACACCCTTTTGATTCAAAAAACACCCATGCCCTCGTCCTTTGTAAGCCAAAGGGATCGCTCAACTGTGAGAATCTTTGTGGGTGGATGACACCTGTTGGTGAAGAAGAGTTAAACAGGGGGCTCACAGGGTGTCTGAGGCAAAGATCTGAACTGCTCAGATAATGGTCTGGAGTGGTAAAGAGTTTAGACTTTGGCCTCAGAGAGCCAAATATTCCTCCCATATGGTTATGAAGATTAAATAATAAGTGACAGCTTGCAGAAAGAAGGGAGGAACAGATGCATGACACTGGGAAAACCTGAAAGTCATGATTATCCCTGTGAGGAAAAAGGAGCAAAGAAATGTCAAGCCATCACACTGAGCAGTAAGCATGACTGTGTCCATGTCCATGTGGCTGGAACAGAGGGGCTGCTGACAGAAAGATCTGCTTGTTCAATTCTCCACAGCCCACAAAGAGCCCAGAGGCAGGCGCCACCTATGCTGCAATATTCTGCCACATGCCTATGTGGCTGTTCCACAGTACATAGAACAAATCAGACTTTTCCCATAACTATCCCAGCAGCTAGAGTCTTCATGGTCACCCTGCTCAGCCAGGGCCAGCCACTTCTGGGGAGCTTCCATTTTAGTCAGCTCTCATGTAGTAACATCTCCAGTAACCTACACCCTGGCATGACAGCAGCTGAGAGGAAGTCCCCAACTTGATGGAGCAAAACAGAGATGCAGACAATTCAGCAGAAAAAACTGGGGTGATGTACTGAGACAATTCTCTGAGGAGAGGAGGAATGACATTGGCCTCAGATTTCATTATCACATATTTCATCGTGAACAGCTGGATGCCTATCAAAAGTCTTCTTTTAAGGCCAGAAAACTTAGTACGAAGAATCTGAGTTATCTTTTTAACTTTTTTTTTTAATAACTTTTACAATTTTCTATACTGTACTAACATACAAAAGTAATTTTTTTTATGATTAACAAAACACCACTGATTGTTTCTAAATGCTTTTTTGTTAAAGTGATTATTATGTGTTGAATTGTGTCCCCCCCAAAAGTTTAATGTGTTGGAGGCTTGATCCCCACTGTAACTGTTGGGAGGGTGGGAAGTTATATTACGGTAATTGAAAGGTTGGGCCTTGAAGAGGTGATTAGCTTATAGGACCATGCTGTAGTGAATGGATTAATAATGGTGGTCAGGGGTGTGGTTCTGAGGGCTTTAAAAGGTAAGCCCACAAAGAGTCTCTTTCTCTCTACTCTGCTATTTTCTGCCATGTGATACCCTGCATTGCTATAAAGCCACCACCAAAGAAGACCCTCACCAGATGTTTTCCCTGGACATTGGATTTTCCAGCCTCCAAAACTGTAAGCAATAAATTTTGTCTTCTTTATAAATTACCCTTCCAGGTGTTTTGTTATAAACAAGAGAAATGCACTAATACAGTGATCTAATCAGCTTTTAATGACTGGTGTTTTCTTACTGACTCTGGGTCGATTGAGTTAAAATTTGAAGGATCCATGTTTACTTTGAACCCCATAATTAAGGTTCAAGATCAAAGAGGCTCTGAAACATATTTCAAGACCAAAAAGTCTAGGAACCCAGGACCTACAAGCAGATAAATCTCCATAGGCTTTCAAAGCTTTATTATAATTTTTTTGCAACACTATTTCTAAGAAGATCAACATTATAGTGTACCCGACCACAGCAGAGCCTAGACATCAATAAAGGTAATTATTCTTTGGTTTTATCTTTCACTCAAGCCTCTGAGGGCTGGTCTGCCTCTCTAAACTCCACTATATCTCAATTTTCATATAATGGATGTGTTTCAGAAATGTTATGAGACAAAGTGGTATCATAATTAAAATGTAAAAAGGGACTTAATATTTAAAAGAAACTTCTGGTGAATCATAATTTTATAAAAATAATCAATGCCTCCATATTTATTTTTAAATTTGGCTTTCTTAAATATAAAAGGGTATGTTAATATTTCCATACCCTTTGCCATATTCTTTTGATATCACAGATTTTTCAAGTTCCCTTTTTTCACATCCAAATTCCACCTCCATCCATTGATCTGATTTTCTGTCACAGGTTCCTACTCCTAAAATCCTATTAGTTGTTATTAGCCAGTGAAAGGCCTGCATAAGAAAATTGGGCATGAAAAGGAGGCTAATTTACCTAATCTCTGACATTTCCACGTAATTAAAAAACTGATAAAGCAAAATACATCCTTTGATTTGATTCCAGGTTTAAATATCTTAGCTACACTGAATAATAAAGAATATAAGTATTTAGCAATGAATAATTAATATACACTAAATATCTCTAGAATATATCAATGCAGATTAAACTAATACGCAAATATAGATCTGAACCCAAAAGCCCAAGACTCTTCTAATTTGCAAATTTAAGTTTTTTCATTTTCTTATGAACAATGAAGAAAAAATGGCTCTCTCTTTTAAAATATGAACTCACAGATAAATGTTAATGACTGAGCATGTAAGCACATGGAAGAAGTTTCCACATACCCTGGCACTTTGTCGGTTCACTTTCTTCTCCTCATCAGGAAGTGGAGGCATTGGGTAAGGGTATTTTCTGCTGGAGGCAATAGACCCAGTTGATGAAGAAGGAGACTTGGCAGGAGATAAAGTCCTGAGACGTTGAGAACAGATGTAATAAACATCATGTGACTGCCTAATATCTTTTTCAAATATCTGAAAAGCGGGTTCAGAATAAACCCTCTGACTTCTACTCTCTTAAGCCACTACCGCAAAGGTTTAATTACTGGGAAGATACTCTGTCATTCACAACATTGGAATGCTAGAATTTTATCTTCCTATGTTTATGATTGCAATGGATTGTTTAAATGTTAGTACAGAGAATCACACTTTTCAACTATATAGCCAATAACACAGTTTCCTATATAGATAAAAAGCTAAAATAGAAAAGGATAAAATCATTCTAAGAGCTCATAAAGGTAAATTAAGTATACAACATGTTAATATTCTGCCTCATTTTTATCACTTAATATAAAAAGATTTTTAGTACAATAATCCCAATTACATTTTGAGATCTTAAAATACATTTACTATTGATATATTTATTAGTTGCTAAGTCACACACCAGTTTACACAAAACTCATGCATTCAGAGGCCAGTGTGTTAGTTGTGAAGGAACAAAGGCAAATACAGGGGTTTTAATAATAAATTAGTAAGCATGCAAGCAGTAAGGAGTGCAGAGCTCCAGCCAAACAAAGTCTGATGAGAACATACAGAAATGGTCTGATTAGTCCCTACAATCAGCATTTCTGGGTAAGCTGTTGATAACTTATTGCGTTACACTTGTTTGATTTTACATATGCAGTGGTAATATTCGTGACTAAGCTGGGCATACCATAAGAGTCCATATCTGCTGCTAATTTGACTTTTAAGTGAAAAAACAGCTGAATGAAAAATAATGTCTACTCATATCAATGGACAACAGATGTGATAACTGCAGTAGCTATCCCATTCACAAATGTTACCACCACACACCCTTGACTCCCTAATTCCTGGTGCAAGGTGGTAACGACCCACAGCACTGAACTGCTTACACAGCCACAAGTACTTATTTCAGTACTTCAGATGAATATGCACCCCATCTGCTGTGACTGACTCAGCCTGGTGGGGTAGCATTAGGTAGGGCAAGATCTACTATCTACATTGCTTTCACCAGCATTAAAGATGTCCTTTTTTCCTCCTTTATTTGAAATTTTGGTTCTCATCCATATAATGTCCTTTGCTCTGGTTCTGCCATTGTTTCCAAACTAGCTTTCATTTTATGGACAATGAATTCAAGCAAAAGTTTGAAAATTTTTCCTACAGATTTCCAACAAACCCTGAGATCCAAGTGAACATTCCTGGTTGATTTTAAGAATCAAGAATGGTTCAGTTTACTTTTAATCCATAGCTCCTAACATTTCATCTATTTGAGATATGGCCAAGAATACTCCTTGGCATGAGTTGTTACACCACAGCAGCCCCATTTGACTTCACTTATGTTATTTCTCTCTGTTGCTGAGCAGAGGGGTGTAACAAAGAATATTAGTACAGTACTTCAATCCTCTAAAGTTCTTTGTTTGTTTGGGTTTTTGTTTTGTTTTGTTTATGGCTGGCTGGTAGGGACCCGAACCCTTGACCTTGGTGTCACCACACTCTAACCAACTGAGCTAACTGGCCAACCCCTCTAAAGTTCTACTAAAGCAATGTACTACTGCATACTTTTCTAATTCAGAAGTTGAATTTTTTTTTTATAAAAAACATTTTTTTTTTTTTTTGTCCTTTTTGAGACCGGCCACACCGCGCTCAGCCAGTGAGCGCACCGGCCGTCGCTATATAGGATCTGAACCCGTGGCGGGAGCGCTGCTGTGCTCCCAACGCCACACTCTCCCGAGTGCGCCACGGGCTCGGCCCTATAAAAAACATTTTAAATAGGATTATGATCTTTAGGAAACAAATTCAGTATGTGTAAAATAAGGGCATTGCATCTTTCTAAAATGAGGAATATTAACCTGGATTCAGCTTCTTAGCCCAGTCATTACTGATAAGATGTCCAAGTGCAGGAAAGCTAGTGAGGTACACACAAAAAATAACTAAATCTTGTTAAGTTTAGAGGGTCATGCAGAATGAGTGATCTTTTTAATTTGCTGCAGTGTTTGTGTCTATAACATTAGCTCTGAGCTTATAGTTTCATAGTCATGTCATCTTTAACTTGGCCATGGGTCCAAATGACCAGCCCTGCACATACACAAAGCCATTCCAATGAGGGGTGTTGAAAGTCCAGTCTTCCCCTCAATTATCTTTCCAGGGGCAAAGCCAATAATGAGTCAAAACAAAAATAGGAGGTAGGGCCGGCTCAGTGGCGCACTGCTACAGTGCACCGCTTGGGAGCGCAGCGGCGCTCCCGCCAAGGGTTCGGATCCCACATACAGACCGGTTCCCGCTCACTGGCTGAGCGAGGTGCGGGCGCAGCACCTAGGGTTGCCATCCCGTTGCCAGTCCCAGTCCGGTATGGGCGCAACACTGAGGGTTGCGATCCGTTGCCGGACACGAAAAAAGACAAAAAGGAAAAAAAAAAAAAATAGGAGGTATTCTCTAGAACTCCAAAGAAATTGCACATATACTACTTCTCACATTAACACACTAGTTAATTGACACTTTGGACCCTGAGGGGAAAAGAAGCCAAGCAGGACAGTGTTAGCCAGAGGGGGGGGCAACAGGTCCTGAAGGTCAGTGGTGTGTGAAAGCATAAAGGGGATTATCTTGGGGAAATGGAGGGCACCAGAGCAGGACTCAGAATTAGAGAACAAGGCAGGGTAAATCAGTTTAGGGGAAAAAAAACTCAAAATTTCTCAAAATGTCTAAGGAAGACATTCCTTCAAAACCACCTCCAGGCTCTTTTCTGATCCTGGCTACTTGCCTGGTAGTTCCAATCTGGATTTCACTAAAAGCCAGGAACAATTTCAGCTCATTCACTTACAGAGTGTAGTGAATCTTTGGGCAAATGTTAACCATTATCATCACTACATTTTTTAAAAACCACAATAACCTAATCATGGGTGCCACACTAGAGTTACACAATAAAGCTATGTTTGTGTGCCATTGAACAGTGGTGCACTGTGGGGCTGCATCAGACTTCCCGGGCTCGCCTGTTGGAGATATGTCTGCATAGCCAATCTCAGTTCATTTCTGGCCCCTAGGACAGGCTAACACCAGGCCAGTCACATGAGAAGGACACAAGTCCACCCCTTATTCACCTGTGTTCATATGCAAACTTTATGGTAGCCTGATCCAGAAAGATTTATTAAGTTTCCTAGGACAGGATTTAAGTAGTCAATATCCACCCTACTACTTTTAAGTAACTACAGCGAAATAGAGAAAGAACGGAGTTTGGAATCATAGAGTCAGGCTCTAATTCTGGTTCTTACACTAGCTGTTCCACCTTGAGTTACTCTTTGTGCCTCAGTTGCCTCTGTCCATAGAAAGGAAATAAGAATGCCTACACCTTATGATGTGACAAATAAAAGTACATAATAGGCACTTGATACATGATAATTATTATTATTTGTTTCTTTTCAGAGTCACTACATTTTCCATAAGATCATAAAAGTGGACTCAAAAACCACTGATGAAATTGAGTAATCAGCTGGATAATACCCTAGAGAAAGAACTTGTAAAGCATTCCCATCACCCAGAACTGATCCAGGTGTGGTGAGATAATGCTCTTTCCCTGATCTCACTTGTTCCAGAATTCCTGATGGCTTAAATACATGCTGACAACAATTTCAGCAACCAATGTCATTAAAATGGTATAAGGGAGCACAACTGAGGCACATGATCACTCAAAATCTTTAGGCATTTGCCTTGCTCTTCATAGTGATATGGATATTATATTTTAAATGCTGGGCTATATTCTGAACCAATTTGCTGGAGTAATAAAGTACTCACTACATTTTGATAAAGATACAACCCAACAGCACATGGGCAATTAATAAGGTGACCTTTGCCCTCATTGGTGGTTTTGGCAGGAGAGATGACCCTGAATGACCTAGTGGCAGATGAAGCAGATCTTAGGGTAAGCATACAGTCAGCCAAGCATAAGCCAAGGTGTGGATGCACTTTGGGCCTCCTGTGTGAGGCTTGGCTTGGATGCAAAGTGGATGAAATTCTATCTGTTGCATTAGAATCATTGTGTTAAAAGCTGTGGGCCATCTCAAGTATTCACCACTGCCACAGAAATTCTGTATTGATATTCAAGTCTTACCAGCATAACCTTTATTAATCTAAAAATGACAATTAAATAAATTATAACTGTTCAAGGAACTTTAGCCTTTAAACATAAATAGGGATTTTTAATAATTAATTCTTAATGTGACTATCTACTGTATGAACCCTTATCTCATGTAAAAGAGGACAAAAAAGAACCCTCTAAAATTGCCCTTGCAGTTTTGCACGTGCAACTGGGGGTGCTAAAGCATTTCCCCATCCAAACTGCACTTAGTCATGCAGCTTCTGGGCAGACCTGGGTGCTGATTTTAAGAAATGTGAACTCTTCTCTGGGAGTCACAAACTACTCAGCTCACCCAGGGGAGGTGAATCGACTCTTCCGGAGTACCATTTCATAAATTATTGCTGCAAAAATGCTAAGTCCATTTAGAAATAAAAGCCCTAACCCATATAGGACCAAAGTCATTCTAATTTGGTTCCATAGCCGGTACAAATTATAATCTGCCCACAAGCCTGAGGAAAATAGGAAGGAGAAATAGAACCACAGGTAAGCCAAGATTTCAAATAGTATTCAAAATCATCTTACCTGTCTTCCTGATGTTGGCCATCTTGGGAGCTACAGGTGAGGGTGGGATGTTTGAATGTGAGTGTATGTGTATGAGTTCCGTGTGGGAAAGTGGAGGACAAGCAGAGGGAAAGCTCAGGAGGGAAAGATGGGGTATAAAAGCAGGGTATACTTTCGTGAGCAGGCAGGAGTTATGCTTTCCTTAGGGTATATGCAAATGTTATGGATCAAATTAAAATGCAGGTTGGTCTAATCATTTTCTCAAACTACATATGACTAAACTAAATGGTACACTGGAAGAGAAAGTCCACCTTACATGGGTGCTGAAAGTTAAATACACATACATATTTTGATATCTGTTTAATGCTGACCCAAGTCACAGCAATAAGTAACATGAAAGCTTACTCTTAAATTGTGTTCAGAACAGGTAGCATTTGAGTCTATATTTCTTCTTTACATTAGTTGTCCACAAAGTAGTCAGATATAAAGTGGACATTTATCTCTAAGAAAACACTTTCCTATTATAAAGAGTAAAAAAATGCCATTAAGAGCTTTTGGAAATTCTCTCTGATCTCTAATGTTACACAGAGCTGCAGCAAATTGAGTAAATTTGATAGTTTCTCAAATGTAAGGATACTCTTCTCTTTGTAGGTCAAGAACATGTTTCCTATCTGCTTCCTATTCTCTTTGAAGTGTTAGACAACAGCATTTTTATTAGTATAAAAAGTTCCTTAGTTTTTTTTTTTTTTTAGAATCTGTGAAATACTCTTCTCAGCACAGCCCTTCTCTGGTAGCAAATGGTTGTACTGAAGAAATAAAACTTAAACTCATTCCACATAGTCTCATGTGGTAAATATTATCTCAATCATTTTCCATTTAGATCAAATCATTGTTTCCAGTCAAAGCAAAATTCCACTACACTTCATTTAGTCTCTTTTCATGTTTTTCCTTGAGTTTTCACATGCACTATGCACTCTTAAGCAGTAAGTACAAAAAATGCATCATAAAACTGCTAGATTCTAGAAATTAAATTGTTCAGGTTAATAGTGTTTCTTTATTAGTGGAAAGTATGTTTCATGCCCATAGAACACTACATAGCATAAAATGAAGAGAAAGCTACTAAAAAGCTCAAGATGGTGATAGGGACATGCACTAAATGGCAACCCTTTCAAATGGCTTCATTTGAAACATTCAGAAAATAACTGGACTTGCTCATGAAGCTAAAAACAGAGATCGAAAGGCAGCAAATAAACAAGAACCCTTTTCCACCTACAAGAACTTATATTGGGAGATATAAGATAGAGAGCCAGTCATACTACAGTATTTGTATGTGCTGGGAGAGTTTGAAAAGGATATAAAATTAATTTATAAAATACCTAAAGTATGGTCCTTCAGTGTTTTTATTCACATCTTCTACCCACTTAGCTACATTATAGTCTCTTTTGAACCATGGGTTTAAATACCTGCAGAAAGCAATGGAAGGAACAAAGAAAGCAGAACAAGATAGAAAATCTGAAAATACACAGCACAAGCTTAGCAAGGATGTCTTCACCCTCCAAATGCAAGTGACTATGGCAAATAAACCGGGATGGATGTTGGGTGATTACAAGGCCGTCTATACAATGACATGAGAATAATCTCATCTACAACAAGACTCAAGGCATTCTAGAATATATTCAACATTTCTGTGAAAGCCTTTTGCAGAGGCTTCCCAAAGTCAATCAGAAGCTCCCTTTCGATCACAATACTGTCAGCATTCCCATTCACCCACCTCCAAAGTGGCTTTTTCCAGGCCACCTCTCATTTGGCTCTTTGGTTTTCAAATGACAATGGCGCTTTTGTAAAAAATTCAAATGGCTGCAATTTCAACCTTGCATTTGGGCACATAATATACCCCAATTAAAAGGAGCAAAGTTCTCTTTCCAGTATGAGAAGCCTTTTACATGGCCACTGTCTTATTCCCTAAAGCAGATCCCAAGCTGGAGTCAACAAGAAAGTATGTTCCACTCAGCTCTGTAAAGAACAGAAAGGATCCCACTCTTCTGATCCTGGAGCCCCAATGTACACTAAGTGTGGTACAAATAGGTCTCCGTGATGGTGAAGCTCGTTTAAGTCATTTAGCTGCAGCTACAGTGTTCCTTCCTCCTCTTTGTGTACTCCAGACTAAAGTGTTCATGTTTCCATTAGGAAATGGCCCTCAGATGTGTCTGATCATTAATCATGTGAGTGACTGCCAGGGAGTAATAATGACCTTGCTTAGCATTTCCCTGATGGATCTGGCAAAGTCTCCATTAGAATCAGTGCAAATGTTAAAGATAGTAAAATTGGAGATGCAAGTTGTTTTTCCCCAGAGTTTCCTTTGATTTTTACCCTGGGATCCAAACAAAAACACATCCCCTTAGAGTTTGCCCTCGTAAAATAATATAGATTTGACAAGTTCAGTAGTGGAAGAATTTAGAGGTTTTACTGGGTTTTCTCATTTAAAAAAATAACTTCTAGAGATACTTTAGGCAAAGATCCAAGCTCTATAAAACTTAAGTTATTTGGAAACAAAACAGGGGAAAATACAAAACACATATATTTATTTTGGGTTGAAGTTTGCTTCTTTCCCCCATATTGAGTTTTTGAACTGCTAATAAATACATTCAAATCAAAACTACATTTCCACAGTTTACGTTAAAAAAATCGGGTTATTTTTCCCACAGCCCTTACCCTGATTTTTTAGCCATAACAAAGGTACTCTACAAAATAACATGAAATTCCCTCCTGAAAGAAGGATTTACTTGCTTTTTATTTTTATAAGACTATTTTTGCTAAGATAATGTCTCCTGACTCAGGAGCAACTCACACTAGTTTTGCCTTTAGCCACAATCATTGCCAACTTGCACTTTCCAGAGAGATAGCCAATTAAAACTTGCATAAAGATTTCCACTGAAACTCTGAATGAAAACAAAAAGTCAAAAAGCATGTGCAGCCACAGATGAAGGCTAGTGAATGCTCTGGCCTGGGGAGAACCATAGAAAAAGCCCATGCAGCTGTAGTCAGGTGAAACATAGCCACATAGCAAACTGCATCACCCACAGGCAGACAGCCACTTTCAGGATGAGATGTTTGTTCCTTTCACTGGCAGTCTTAGGAACTCAAAAGACTGGTGCTAGGACTGGTCCATGAAAGCTACACCCACATGGCCTGGCTTGCACTTGATGGACCTTTTTCTCCATTTCAGGGAGCACTTCAGAAGGCGTTGATCACTTCACCAGAGGCCACTGAAGAGAATTCTCAATTGTTTGTTTCTGCTGGGGATCTGCCCATGAAAGTGTCTTCAGAGTGGGCTTCCTAACACTTCTAGGTCATGGTGGCTGGAGTGATGGGATTTTATCAAACTGCAGAGAACCTGCCTGTGTGGCTTGACTTGGCTTATAGCGCAACATGCAAAAAAATGCGTTAGACGGGATAGCTCTTTGTGTTCTCCAGGATGGAAAGGCAGAGGAAAATTAGCTGGTGCTGGCTGGACCAGGAGCACCTCCGAGCAGACATGGTGGCTCGGTCAAAGATCAAATGACCCTGCTCTCAGCCAAGGAAGGGACTTGGAGGGAGATTAAGTGCCAGCCCAGAATGAAGGGGCAGGTGGAGACTGACCTGTGATCCAGATTCCCTGTCTGGGGGCTGTCAGAGCCCCCTGGGCTTATGCCTTGGGATGGGACTGTCTGGGCGAGGGAGTGCCCAGGCTCAGGTGCTTGGGGCTCCCTCCTGTAAAAACACAATATATAATACAGAGTCTAAGCCAAAAAATTTTTTTACATCACATACAACAGTGAGGAAGATGCAAAAGCTTTGAGTGGAAAAACAGAATAATAAACAAGGACATTTTACTTTGTTAATTAGCAGAGCATGCATTTGTGGTGCATGTTTTAATTCATGTCCTGATTTTTCATCATCCATTGGGATGATGAGGTACTAAAGGGAATGTTGAAATAATAGACCTGAAATATCTTTCATTCTATAAAAATAGAAGATATTTGTTTGTCTGTGGTCATTCTGCTCCTCTTACAACTAGTCACACAAATGGTATCATTATATGAGAAGCAAATGGGATTACTTAAATATGGAAAGTATAAAAATGTGCCAGCATAATTCTTGATACACTATGAATCAGGAATCTTTATTAGAAAAAAAATGTATATGTATGTATATAGAGAGAGTGAGTTCCCATACAAGAAGATATCGATCAGCTTCATAACTTGGCTTCATTTAATTAACATGAGTCATGTAACCAATATCAGAAAAGTCTGAAAAATCTGAGGGAGTCCTTAATACTTCTCCCTTACAAGGACGATTCTATTACATTTTATTAAATATAACTGTTATTGCACAGGCAAGATTTCTCAGAGGCTATCTGTAGTATTATAATTTTTATCATATATATAATGTGATAATTTTTATCATATTATTTTACACAAAGTTAAAAATAATAAGTGATTGCTCTAGAAATTATTGTATGAACATTGTTAAACACCAAATGCTCTTTAGGTCCTAAACTCATGGCTTTAATATAATATTGGATTCTTTTTTCACTTAGTTTTCAAAGCCTGCAATAGGAAATACTTTTAGAACACTAAACAGTACACAAAGGAACTAAAGAACAGTTTGCGGTTTTATCTACACTCTTGCCAGCAACTGAGATAAGCTAAGGAGCTCTTACCAGGTGACCTCATGCAAAACAAACCAAACAACATTCCAAGAAGAGTTTATCAACAATGAGCCTTAAAGCATCCAAGCGCTTTGGGAATGTATAAGATAAACTCTAATAGATTAGTTATCTATGATGGAGTTCTACGATGCCATTTTGGACCATGCAACGTATCAAATGACATTGCCTATTGTTTCTAAAGTAAAGTATCCTCTAGTAAACTTTGATAAGCCACTTACAAGATAATACCATTCAGGTGGAACGTCCAAATTTCAGGGCACTGTTACTATTCCTGGACTGAAAAGGGCAGAGTATATGATGGAAAAGCTAACATAAGTTTCTGACAAGCAGTTAACAAATACCTGCTATTCAGACTTTTTAAGTATTAAGGCATGAAGAAGCAATAGAGATCCTGGGAATAATAACTACTACTACAGTGAGAAATAAGTGAAAATTTTTAGGTGGGTTAAAAAAAGTACAGGTAATTAAAACCAGGTGGCAAGATCAGTCCAAAAGGATACTAAAGGTGTGTTTTATTCCATGAAGGAGGATAAAGGTTTGAGGAGGCTTTGTTTTGCTTGTACTTTCTTAAGTGGAGAAACAAAAAAAGTGAAAGGTGTTTACTTCATTATAAATGACTTTCAATGTAACTTCCAACCCCATTCCCACTAAAAAACACAAAAGACATGTGGCTATCATTTAAAATGGATAATGTTGCATTTAGTGACAATGATTCAGTTAAAGAGCAAATTTAGGTAAACGCCCTTTTAAATGTCTTCAGAAGGAAAATTTAAAAGGGAAACATTCCATTAGTCTGAGAGAATGCTTAGATTGCAGCCATGAAGACCCCAGAGTGGTGGTTTCAGACCGTGAGCAGTACCATGCTCTAGGACAGTGGGAATTTTACCCTGATGCTTCCAGGCTGTGCGAATACTAGGGGGAGGAAATGTGACCCTTTGAAATGGCTAGACCCCAGGTGATGAAAAGAAAGGAATGTTATCAAAATTCCCTTCAAACAGAACCAAGACACCACAATGGCAGGTGACTGGAGGAAAAAGCCTGCAGTGAGGGTGAGCCCCCCACTATCAGTGAATATTGATATGGGCACAGTTGCGAAGATGCCTATATAAAAGAGAAAAGCCATGGTTAATTTTTAAAGGGCAAACAAGAATTTAAAAGATAAAATCAAGACCAGAGGCATGGTGCATGGTTCTCTGACTATCTGCTTAGTTAAGCTGACACTAAGGCACAGGACCTTTGAGTGCCTTTGTCCATTAGAGGTGGAGACTTACTCAGTTGAATTAGACCGAGGTCTAAATCTTTTGCCTCTGATTTTCTTTCTGTTGCCTCCCAGGTTACCTGAAAAAGAAGGTAGATTATAGCTATATCTAGCTAAATCTATAGCTAGACTTCCATATAAATACATGATATTTCCAGTGGGTCTAATTCACAAACAGCATCACCCTGGAATACAGAGTATTGTAGCACTATACGGCCTTCTCAATGTGTCCAGGGTACTGGTGCTACTAAATCCCATCATTTCCCATCCACAAAAAAAAAAAAAGAACTGGATTCTCATTCTAAATATCCTCCACTCTGTTGGGAGAATAGCTAAAGAGCTAACAGGAAAGAATAAGTATTTACAACCAGGGACCACAGAATACAGAACTTGGATTGTGTGATCAGATGGATTCAGATGCTGCCCTGTACCTTGCCAAGAGTTACTTCGAGGTCGCCCATTTTCACAGATGTCTGAGATATGTTTTGTGTCTGGAATCCTTTCACTCCATGAATGAGAGAGCCCATTTGACCTGAAATTGAAAATATTTATAGATTGTTCAAAAATGTAATCAAATGAATGTTTTGAAATCAGTAAGCAAAACTTCTAAGCATTACTATACATCAAAATAAATCAAGAAAGAAAATAATCTGAAATGAAAGAATGAAGGGAACATGGAAGTCTTCATGAAGAAGGCAGAATTACGCAACATTCAATTTAAGAAAAGTCAAATACAATGGAACCCCATTACAATAGTCTATTAATGAAAAGCATCAGGACACAAGGCAAGCCAATTTACATTCCCCAGAACACAGCAACCACATATAGCAAATTCACTATGTATTTCAGTTACATAACCCGAGCAGCGGAGTTATAATGGGGTCCCACCATAGATGTTTCTTAATTGTAAAGCAATGGTTTTCATTCAAATACTATGAGAACATGGACTTCCAAGAGATTACATTAAGATTCACTCAACTGAACCTGGTTAATTTTTATCAAAGTAATATTTAGGTTTCCTTAAATAATAAAATTATATTCTGAGAATTGGCATTTTTCTCCATAAAGTCCAAAAAAGGTAGTACATGTTGGTTAATTGTCCAACAACTAAACTGAATCAGATATTTATCATGAAAGTGCCTCTCATAAAGCCCATGTACCGCTCGTTGAGCCCTTCTGCTATTTCTGTCCTACTATCTTTAAATGGATTATCTCTAAGAAGCAAAACCTACCGTGCACCACATAAGAAAAGAATTTTGACAAATCACATATACTTTTCAGAAGTCTAACAACTTGATACACTTTTTAACTGCTTAAAAATCATAACCCATTGAGATTTTTCTAAAATCTGGGAATTATTCAAATGGATATTTTAAGTTCTTTTTTAGGTACTTTAGAAAATAGCACTATAGTTAAACATCTTTTTCACATATCATTCTGGTCAATTCCTACATCTATTTTTAAAGGAACCTTTATACTTATGAGTGCAGACAAATGGAACTCAGCACAATTATTGCATATTAATTCCATAAGTTGGAACATTTTCAACATCATTTGCTACTTACAAAACAACTCATTTTATACAAAACAATAGAAATTCTGCTGGAACCCACTGATTTATCCACTTATTTACTATGTTATTTAATTTAAATTTAACATTTGAACAAGAAGATATTTATATAATGGTAGAATTCAAGTAGATACCTGGTTGTCTTCTCTTGGACAACAAAACCTTAAGAAATTTTTTAAAACATCCTTCTATAGAACTGTACTCCTTGGGCAAAAACTAGTATTTCTACTTTTGCTTTAAGCTATGTTATCTAAGTGTAAACTATCCTTCATGCTTACAAAAGTTCAACACAGAGATCCCAGATCTCACTAATTCCTTCTATTCTCCTTCCTGATCAATGTTTATAAAGACTGAGAGCCATTGAAGAACTTCTACGTATGATTCACTCTATCTGGAACTCCAGAAGAGGTCATGCTACCTCTCAATAAACTAGTAATTTCCCCTTCACTCTACAAAGTAACTAACTCATGTGCTCAAAGTCATGAGTGAGGCTACCAAAACTTTTTTGCTATCCATTACATCTTTATTGGCAATTTTAAAGAAATTCTTCTACAGAATATTTATCTTCCTTCAACATGAATATAGGTCTCATTCCCTAAAACATTCCAAATATTTATTTCTTCTATCCATTTATTTTATTAAGCAATTTTAAAGCATGCAGAATTTTACACTGTAAGATGCTAGAACAAGAAGATAGCATCAGAGTCTAAGATATATAAAAAATATATTAATCCCACCTGTACCATTATAAAACTCAGGCAAATATTAAGCATAATTAATTTGTTAACAAAGATATGTTAATAAAGCCTAGAAATAATCATTTCAGAAAAAAAAGGCAAAATCATAATATTTAAATATATGATTCACAGAAAAGCAACCTTTGTTTTATAGCAAGCTTAGCTTTGATATATATAAAATTAAAAAATATTCAATGCAGCACTTATATTACCAATTTATGTTAACAATTGCTTTTATTGAAGCATGACAGTAACCTTTTTCTTTGACTACCAAACATGACATAAAGCTCACCATTTAAAATATTATTAAATACTACATATAGTTTAAGCCATATAAGAGCAAAACTGAAGAACCCTGGGGTTTCTATATAGATTTAGGGTTATGTTTGTTTTGTTTTGTTTCAGTTTTGTGGCCTGATTTGTATAACAGGTGGTTCTGAGCATATGGCATTTTGAAGGAGAGTAATCAAAGAACAAAGGATACTATTTTTTAACATTCAAGAAAGAAGGAAGAAGTAATCAAACCTGCTGCAAAATAATGAAATGTTCTGACTAATGGAATAATGTGTGATGGAACAGGTAGAAATCTGAAAATGCGACAGAAAAGCAGACCTCTTCTTAGAACTAGATGCTGAGTTTGTGCTGACTCCAGGAGGAATGTCGCTATAAAAAGAGTCGCCATCTCCAGGCTTTTTTACATAATCTCCCTGGGGTAACTGTCTAAGGCATAATAAACATTTCAGAGTCAGAAAACAAGACACACACATGAACACAGACATATACAAATATTATTTCAGGAAAAAGAGAGGTAGGGATAATGATCTACATGAATCAAATCTATAACAACACATAAGATTATTAATAAATGTGACAAGTTAAAGTTATTCTATCTACAGAGGTTAGAAATGCAATCACTGAAGTCTATAGTTAGGATAAATAAAGCCTTGCTTTGGGGGGAAATTATGAAAAGATGAGTTTTTTCGTTGTGACTTCATTATATTTGGAGATGTTAACTGCAGTTTTGTCTTTTTTAAAAATATTGATGTGGAAGGAAATGTGTTAGGACAGACAGTCCTTGCCCAGATAAAGGACAGCTCTCTTTTCACTGTGGTAACAAACTATTCGTGATTTCCAAACATCATATAATGTAACTTTGATGTGGTCTTAAAATAACTGATTTCTAAGCAATTCTATAATTTAATCCAAATAAATCCTTATTAGAGTTTGGTGTTCGATTTGGAGCTTCATTGTTCATTTAACAGAAATATGAGAAAGTGAAAAAGATTCAAAGTTGAACCAAAAAGATAATTTTATAACTGCATGGTAGAATAGGTGAAGAAAGATAATTTAGCAAGAGGAAGACGTGGTTGAAAAACATAACTGAATTTTTGTTGCAACTATAGAAAGACATTCATAAGTAGGAGGTGGGTGACCTCAGTTCTCTATCTCCACTGGTAAGAGCACAAGACACAACCTATTTAATCTGCACTGTTACTGACCCCACTCGTCTGATTTTGAATGAACTAAAATTAGAACAGATTTATATTACTTCCCCTAAGGAAATCAGGTAGAAACTTTCAGATAGGGCCACAGTTAATCCCCCTGCAGTAGCTAATCTGATCATTTGTCAGCACGTAGCCCCCAAACAGCCAACTACATTCCAAAACTTCATTCAGATCAATTCAGTACTATTGTTGAAGATGCAACGAACTGCAGCTGGACTGAGAATTTTAAACAGACCTAAACTCAAATAAGTCCCCAACAAAAGCACAAAATTTGCTAACTCCTTTTCCTATTTGGTTTCTCCTTAGGTTACTATGATAATCTTGGTTACTTGCTGATGATAAATTTTATCCCAAAAATGCCACTTTCAGATGTTTGTTTGCTTATACTGATTCCCATATTGTTGTAAATGTTTAAAATACTCAGTCATTCATTCTTTTGAATGACGGAATACCCTCTCTCATATTATTTCAATGCTATACAGTCACACATCTCTATAAATCTGAAAAATATTTTTCAATGGATATAAAGCATGTATTTTAATTTGTATAATTTAATATTTAATCTACTTTCCCCTGTAAAAAAAAAAGTAGAATTTCTCACTAAATTAGTACGTAAGAATAATTCCACCTATAATTGTTTGATATAGGTTACTCCCAAATATTTTTTAATTCTGTGCCTTCAGCTCATAATGATTATCCTTTCTTTTTCCCAGTGTATTATAAAACATTTATTTTACAGAAAAAATAATACAAGCCCCCATATTCATAATGTTAATAATACATGACGAATAATACATCCTCTTATGGAAGAGATCTTTGACCTCTGGAATCATATTTTCTGTTTTACTTTGTATCAGTAAAATATTCCATCAATGCTTGAAAAATATGTTTTTTATAAAATCAGAGTTCTAAATTTTGCCTCGGAGAAGAAACTTTCTTTTGTATCATATTAATATTTATAAAAGAATCCCACAGAATGTCTCATCAACATCACATTTCCAATAATAATCTTTTTGGCTAACAAATCTTTTTTGTCGCCATTACCTTTAATAATGATTTTTATAAGCTGATGAGACATGCCAAATTAAATAAAGATATGTTATTACATAAGAGCTCTGAACTACACCTGACCTGTGCCATTACTCTGTCCCCCAAATGACCTCCTCTTTACACGGTTCTGGTATTCATGCGTTACCCTGGCATTTACCCCTGCCTCACTTAGCTGATACTGCAGGTGTAAACGTACTGCCTCTCACAGTGGATGTGGCCCGGTTTTGTTTAACTGAACACATTTGACCACACCTTCAATGTAACTATTTATGTAATTATGTAATAATTACAACGTAATTATTTATTCCTGTTTAACTTTTAGTGAAGATAGAGAATATCAGGTCCCCGTGATCAATAAAATAATATTTCATCATTTGCTATAAAAGATCATAAATGATCCCTTAAAAAATTTTTAATTAAACTTCTTTTTTCAGTCTTTTATTTATCTTTGCGAGTTTTTTTCTAAATTTTGAGTGTTTTTCTTATTTCATTGAATCTTGGAACCTAAAAGTGATTACCACACTAGGTAGCCTGACCAGTGCTAACTTTTATAATGGGAAAATTATGACATATTTTTCACATTGCATGCAAATGTTTTAGACATGAGCATGATTTTTTTGGAAACAATAACCAAAATAAAATAAAGGTTATGTAACTAAGTTCTTTTTCCTCAAAAAGGATTCCTTTCTACATTAATTATAGGTTATCTTTTTCCTCCCTGTTATACAATCTTGGCATTTCATTTTGTATTTTGAATTGATACATACCATTAAATAACATTCTTTTGAAGGTGTTTCCAACACTCTAAGACAAAGACCAACTCAGACAACTTAATGACTCTGGAGGAGCTGACTCACACAAACTTATTATTATTTCTCTCCAGGTCTACAATATTCATGCTTATTGCTTATTTGTTGTTATTCTTCTTCAGAAGACAAAGTCAGTTCAACTCTTAATGTGTTAATAATGATATATCATCTATTTGTTGTGTTAGCATTCTAAATTTAAACCCTATGTAAGACTGCTTCATGGGTCATCCCAAAAGCCTTCAGGCAAATGGTTGGTCCTGATATGAGGAAAATCTGATCCTTCCTAGAAGCACTCATTGAACTACACTATTTATCTTTTTTTTTTTTTTCCTTTTTGTCTTTTTTCGTGACCGGCAACAGATCGCAACCCTCAGTGTCGCGCCCGTACCAGACCGGGACCGGCTACGGGATCGCAACCCTCGGTGTTGCTCCCGCACCTCGCTCAGCCAGTGAGCGGCCGGTCTGTATGTGGGATCCGAACCCTCGGCGGGAGCGCTGCTGCACTTCCCAAGCGGCGCACTGTAGCAGTGCGCCACCGGGCTGGCCCTACACTATTTATCTTAATAATCCTTATGCATACTCACAATAGGAAAAATGAAAGAAAGAAAAAAAAAAAAACATTTACCTAAGTCTTAACCTTAATGCTAAAAAAGACATTTCTCCAATGCTTAGTTGTTGTCCAGGTGGTCTTTTACTGGAAGTGTTACTTTACTGTTTTAAGAAGTATTGTATGATGTGTACCAAGTCACACTGACAGATACATGAATATCACTAAAATAATAATAATATAAAAACAAAATAAGAAAGGTTTGAAAAAAAGGTGGGAAGTTTACAGGTAGAAAATAAAGTAGCTAAAACAGATGAAAGAGAAAAGAAATGGGACAGGGGAGGGGATTCTGCTTAAGGTAAAACCATAGATCGAAAGGTATGTCCTAATTATTTATTCTGTTTCTCATTAGTTATAATAATGCTGTGCTCCCTTCAGATAAAGGAAGAGAATAAGATTTCAGCTGAATACAGATGTTTTATAACTCTTAGTTCAGTTAATGTTTCTTATTCTACTGCTATTTGCAAACCTGCCTGAAAATAAAAATCCACTTATAATTCTTGTTACAAACCATACAGCTGCTAATTCCTAAAGCAATTATGATATTACGTAAACAATAAAATCAACTGAAAAGATTATGGAAGTTTTCTTCCCTGAAGATTTTAAAGAAAAGGATAAATACCCATCCTTCTAATTACCTGACATCCAAAGCTTTGCCATGGCTCCTTGGCTCCCTAGTTCAACACCCATCACAAAATGACATTGGCAGTTTTAAAGTTATATTGTACATGTGTGGGGTTCTGCCTCCACTATGCCCTAGAACAGAGCTTCTAAGTTTTTTTACTCAGCAGTTTGTGAAAAAAAAAGGGTCTGCATCTCATCTTTTTGTTAAACTTGCAAGTAAATATATAATACATTCCTTCAATATACTGAAAACCTTGAGGACACATTTTCAAGAGGGAAAACTGATCAGGTTATCAGATTCATTCACAGAATTACTTGCCTGTCCTCTCCAATTATGCCCAATGTAGCATTTCTGAGCCATTACAATGTTATTAAGAATCTGATAATGGGCTACATATTTAATATGTCTTGTACTTAGTGTCAAAGCAAAACTTTATGTTCACCAACCCCTTCATCAGCTCAGCCAGCCTTCCTCTTTGAGAACAACCACATCCATCCAACTCTATTCAAAGATCAGAGAAACACAAAATCTTCAGAGACCACATACCAATACGGCCTTTCACCATAATGCTTTACAGATTACAAAGAACTTTATTTGATTAAAAGTGGAGGAAAGTTTAAGTGATTTCCCAACACCACATACTAGTAGATTCGTCCTTCCATCATAGAAGGAAAACCTAATCTAAAGGTAAGGACAACTCAAAATTCTTAATACTACTTCCTGACATCCTTTGGAACTTGGCAGATCTTTATTTTAATGTGTTCAGTTATTTCTACAAGACTGAAAATTTCTTAATGCATGCTTTGGTCTGTTGGCCTTACCAACTTCTCTATAATCACTAACATACAAGAGTGCTTCAAATAGTTCATGGAAAGATTCGTATTATCTTTTAATTCTATTTTTCCATGAATTGTTTGAACTATCCTTGTATATTCTCAAAAAGGAAAATACTTCAGAACATACTTACACATTCATGACTTCCTGATCTAAAGTCCATTATTTGCTACTTTTTCATTTTGCAAACTATTGTACAAACCTAATATTCATCAGCTATGAACAAAGGGAGAAAAAAAGGCTGTACTAAGATACATCAAAATATATAAAATAAATAACCAGTGAATATGTGACAACTCTCAAAATATGGACTAGATTCCAAAAAAGTAGCCAGATTGATGAAATGACTTAGTAACACCAGGAGACATGAAATTATATCAGGCACATCAAGGAGAGTATGTAAGTGTGAAAATGTTCTTAACTATATCTCTGCATGTACTGAGTTAGAACAAGAAAGTGGTGCATACTTTTAAATATTAGTCATTTGTGTATAGTGTGGGAAATTTCCTTATTCTGGATTGTATCCCTAGTGAGAACATGTCTCAGAGCACAGTTGCAGCTTTGCTTATGTACATATTTGAGTCATTTTACTTCCCTTTTTGTATATTCAGCAATATTAAGTTACATTATAGCTTTAGCTCCTATGGAAATGGAGTTGCATCATCAACTTATCTTAGTAGCCTAATTCTACTTTCCACTGAGGAAAGCCACCAAACTTAGATTTCTGACATGACTAATCAACTTCTACCCAACAGAAAGCTTAAATGGCCCCTGCTCTACCCAAGTACTTTTGGACACGAGTTTAAAACATGTCGCAGAGAAATCTAATTGTTTTTAAATTTTAATTTTATCTCAGTTTCACTTTTTCCATTAATGATGAGTTAGTTATCAGGGCAAGGTCAATATTTTCTAATATCTATGCTAACTGACCCGGATTTCAATTGGTACCCATGGGTATCATATATTTATAGAGATTCTATAGATACTTAATGCTAAAGCCCTATAGGGATTTTAAATTACCACACAGAAGAAAACAGAAGAGTAAAGTTTAAAATTGTGGCTGGGGCCTGAAAAAGTATCACAATGTTTATTAAACATTATTCCTAACCTGCCACAGGCACATAATGGAACAATGGAAAAAAATTTTAAGTAAGTAGGAATCTGCAGAAATAGCTTGAGAACAGAACTAAACACTATATGATGTATAAGACCTGGTCAGGGTTATCAATTCCAGAATAATACTTTAATTTTTCCGTATCAATAGCTAGTAGCATTAGTAACTTTTAAAATGTGAAAAGTGAAGGGTGTACCCCAATATTGTGTGTTAATTTAGATTTAGATAAAATAGGCAATTTTTATAGAACAACATGAATGCTTTGTATCTCTCATCATGCTGTTAGTTAAACATAGATTTAAGGTTATGCTAAACAGGGTGCCTGACTTAATGGGAATTTTCATTCAAAAAAAAGTACATGAGACAATCAGAGATTCCAACTATGCAAATTCTTTCAACTACCTGTGTGATTACCTAATCGGTACAAAAAAATATTTTCTTATGCAGAGATTGGCTCATCAAATGCTAGAACATCACTCTGACAGCAACACTGGGCCCAAATAAACTTTGTCACTTATGAATGGAAGTTATTAACATAATGACAGTAATAAATAAAAAATAAATTCACTCAGAAAGTATTAGGGAATAAGAGTGTTATAAACATGAAGAAAAGCCAATAAACTAATGTAAACAAATGTGACAGCTTAACATAGAAGAATTTTGTTTTAGATGGAAAAAATCAATTTCTATATATATATTTCTATAAAAGTGACACAAATAAGAATCTTCACTAATTGTAGTATTGTTGGATGAAAGAATGATTAAAATTTTTAAATGACAGATCTATTATAAGGTAACACATTTCACAGCATCATTATTAAAATTATTATTTCAAGACTAGTGTATGATCACTGTAGCATAAAAACAAAGTGAACATAATTTATAGCTATATGTATGAATTCCAATAATGCTAATAGGAGTTAAACCTTCCAGATATATGTTCAGATTATTCTCATCACATACCTCTGTTCTCGATAGTTTCTTTTCATGGGCCAGAAGAGAGGGGGAGAAAACACAAGAATTAGTTACCTATGGAAGCACATTAAAAGGGAGCACTAAACATCAAAGCTCTAGCATTCACTGAAAGGACTTCACTGGAGGATTCTGAATTGCAGAATTCAAATAGGGAGGACATGCACACAAATTTCACCTCATCATTAGGAGATGTCACACCAAAGGGTTAGTGACAATATTGTCAAATAACCATCCATTCTTAAGAGCATAACTAAGATGCAACAATTAAAGAATAACTGTTTTCTCAGTAGCAATTCTATTGCACTAAACATTTAGTAACATACTAAAGTGAATCCTTTAAAATACAGGTTTTCAGACATATACGTTGATTTAAATTATGAAATTAATAAATCCAGTTATTTATATAAATTAACTGTATTTTCATAGAAATAAAATCATAACTCATCGCTATTGGAATATAAACCTCAAACCACAGTGACTCCTAACAACTTCAAATAGAACACAAATGCACACCAGACCATTTTATTTCAATTATGCATAATGAAGAGTAAGTTAATTCATGGCTGCTATGAACCTCTTAAATTATTACTACTTACTCACTAAAGCTTCAAACTGGAAATAATCTGTTTAGTCTCGTTTTCAATCTGACCATAAGCTAAAATAAACTTTCATGAGTTTCAAAGTAAACCAATCTTAAACAAAAATCTATTCAAAGGGATGTTGTAGTACAATATCTGTGACTCTTTTTCAAGAGTTAAATTGTTAACTTTCTATCTTGGCAAAATTAACTGTTAATATTTTGAAGATATGTTAGAAAGGTCAAGCAGTTGAGTAGTTTGGGGCTCTTTCCTCTAAGATCACGGATAATGCTTCCAGATGGATTGTAGCACCTTCTCTTGACAGTATTCCATCCACATTATAAGTATCATGTTGAATAATAGGCGCATGAGGGTACAAGTGTCAATTTTTTATTATTTTTCATTCCAGAAACTATCAGATGGGGGGAAGAGGAAGAAGCCTGATATGTTTCTATTCAACATGATTTACTTTTTATTCCCTCAGTCTGATTACCTGAGCCATACTGCACAGTTTCAAATGAGTACAGATAGTCCCCAACTTACGATGGTTCGATTTAACAATGGTTTGACTTTACAATAGGTTTATCGTGATGCAACCCCATAGTTAAGTCAAGGACTCTGTTCCTATTCCTGCTATTTTCCACCCATCTGACACCAGGGCTCTGACACCAGGAAGTCTGTTTTGCTGATGATGATTTATACCACACGTTTAATGGCAGGGCTTTCATCCAGAGCAGTTCGGATCTCTCCTTGTCTGCTCCACTCCTGAGGCATCTTTGTAGACATCAAAGGTCAGTAATCGTGGGCAACAGGAAAAGATTCCAGTTCCCCATGACAAAAATGGCAGTCTCTCTGTCTGGGAGCCCTCATGTTAGACAGCAGGGCCAGGGAATCTAAACAAACTGGCGGACTCCAACCTGCCCAGGTCCTCTGCGAGACGGGTGAATGCAAATGCCAGAGGATCCCCCAGGTCATTGAGATTCTCTTACTCCAAGACCGAGCATGTCTGTCCTCCCTTCCTGTTCTTTCGGGGGTTCAACAGGGATCAGTAAATTTAGATGCTAGTCTTGATTATATTTAAGTAATGGTATGACATTTGGCAAGCCACTTAAATCCATGTTCCTAAAGGCTTGGAGAAGGGGTGGGAAGTTTAACTGGAAGGACTTAAGAGAAAATGAATGCTCAGGTCCCAAATGTGGCTTTGAATTTCAAATAGGATATGTAAAACATCACATTCATGAGTTTAATTCCTATACTAAAATTTCTATGTTCTCATTCTATTTTTAAACATATTTTTAATAATTTTAAACACTAAAACTTTAATCATTTATATTTAAATTATGTATGAAGAAGATACCGCAGTACGAACAAGATTTGTCTTTTTTCTTTAATCAATCTGCAAAGTGCAAATATTTGGAAATGAAGAAAAAAAACTGTAAAGCCTCAAAAGAATGTCACAAAAATAAGAAGTTGTATATAGAAAGAAATAGTTTTAATTCTAATCATTAAAAAAAAAGATACAAGGAGTGTCATAAGCAATTAGTGTCATAAACAGCAATAAGAGTAGGTGTTTAAATTTCATATTTGCTGAAAGGTAAGTTTTTGCAAGATCTTAAAAATGAAATATCCACTTGTATCAGTAGGTGGCAGAAAATCACACACTCTAGAGCTAACAATTTTCCTTTCTGTTTTCACATGACTCAATGAAGCCACTGAGCTACTTCAGAACACCCATGCCTGTGATGGCAGTTACTACATAAGGAGGTTTTGCCCTTAGCATGATGCACAGCCACAGAAAACACTCAGTAACAGATATGCTGCTATTGTTCTTGTTATATTACTATTATTATTGGTGTTATTACAGCACTAAGCTCTCTAATTCACTGTGCTGCCTAGATTTTGGGGTATGGGTTTAAGTCAAAAGAAGCTCTGTCACTAAAGAGGAAATCAACACAGCCTTTGTATAAGACACTTTTTAGACTGATTTAATTCACTTCAATGATATTTAAACAATATTCAGTACTTTTAGAACAGAAGAGAGTTGTCTCAAAATCTAAAATATTAAAAATTATTCTTACTTCTAACAGTGCCCAAAATAATCATTAATTGACTGTTGAGCCAGACTAATTTTCATTATAAGCATATTTATCCAATGACACAAAACTTTCATGTTTTCATTTAATCAAAATTTTTTAAGAAATATTATTTTGATAGTAACAATACTGAGACATTTCACTTACTTATAACCCCACGCAGTTATTCCTAATATAAGGGCCAGCACTAAAATGGTGCCAGCAATTATGCCTATTATGATATTGGTGCCAGCAACACCTGGGAGGGAAAAAAGAAGAAATAAGGTAGATCAGTGACACAAAATTCTTTTAGCAACTTTATTCTCCAGATGTGTAATCATCACACTATTATTTGTTTTTAAAATGGATCTTTTCAAAGGAAAGAAAAGTCAACCATAATTCAGCAATCCATATCAACTACTTATAAAATAATTTTTTGTGCATGTTTCTTTTTAATTCTTATTCAAGTGTGTTTTGTACAGTTGAATTTGCCATGTGCTTTTCTGGAAAATATGATGTCACTGAACTAAAAGCAGGAAGAGTAATGACACAACAAAACAAGGTGGGATGACAATGCTACCATATTGGCAAGGCATCCTTTAGGGAAGAACTTTTAGGAAACCTGTGTTCCTTTTGACCCTTACCTCTTTCTCGGAAACTCTAGAAATTTATTTATTTCTTACTTCACTCCACTTTAACAACTAGTGCTCTCGGTTGTGTGTGTGATATTTTGTCTCTTAAAGTGAATATAAGCTTAAGGGAGAAAACATGCCTACACGTTTATATAACCAGTGCTCAGGTGGTATAAATGATAAAAGCACTAGGCTTGCAGTTCCCAGTCTGGGCAATGATGGCTGTGGCATTCTTCAGAAAGAAAACCCAAAGGAAAAAATAGTCTGGTGAGCTAGAGATGGGTGCTGGTGCAGCATGAGGAGGCAGCACCAGACTGGCAGAGGGACAGGGCAAGGCCAACGCTCGGGGCTCAGGCGTGGCACCGTTGTATTAGCATCCATTGTCAAGCAGGCTGTGGTGTAAGCCTTAAGGGGATCATGGAAGTGAGAGTGGCCCAGGGAGTCGAAGCCTTGGTCAATCAGCTCAAGTGAGGGCCCAAGAGCAGAAAAGGCTGATCTGAGGCTGGGCTCTGACACCAGGAAGTCTGTTTTGCTGATGATGATTTATACCACATGTTTAATGGCAGGGCTTTCATCCAGAGCAGTTCGGATCTCTCCTTGTCTGCTCCACTCCTGAGGCATCTTTGTAGACATCAAAGGTCAGTAATCGTGGGCAACAGGAAAAGATTCCAGTTCCCCATGACAAAAATGGCAGTCTCTCTGTCTGGGAGCCCTCATGTTAGACAGCAGGGCCAGGGAATCTAAACAAACTGGCGGACTCCAACCTGCCCAGGTCCTCTGCGAGACGGGTGAATGCAAATGCCAGAGGATCCCCCAGGTCATTGAGATTCTCTTACTCCAAGACCGAGCATGTCTGTCCTCCCTTCCTGTTCTTTCGGGGATTCAACAGGGATCAGTAAATTTAGATGCTAGTCTTGATTATATTTAAGTAATGGTATGACATTTGGCAAGCCACTTAAATCTATGTTCCTAAATATCCTCACCTGCATCAACTGATAGAACAAACTCCACACTACCATTGCTAAGACTAGGGACTCCAAAATCTTAATCAGTCAGTGACCTTACTTATTAAAGTCATTTTAGCTAAGATTTTTAACCTGTCTGCATGATTAGAATGAACATATTCCATTTTCTCATCCCTTTAGAGGTGGACTTCAGGATTTGAGCATTATTTCATGCAAAAACAAAAAACAAAAAAAACCCTCAATAATGAAATGATAAAATAGTTTAAAAGAGGACATTTGCCTCCAAGATATGGGTTCGTTCAACAATCTGCATTCAATTTCTACGTCTCCCCTTGGGTCACCCTAGCTTTTAGAACTATCCTGTTGTTTCTTATCCATGTCCTTAAGCCCCTTCTAGGTTCCCTGGCCATGATTACTACTTCTAGTTCAGTCTACAGAACTGGGGTTGAAATATCGATAGGATTCTACTATAAAGAATATTAAAATAAAATATTTAAAAATAAATCATCAAATTGTTTCTTTTTCTTATTTAGTCCCAAAATATAAAATTCTCCTTTCAAATTCAGATAGTTAAGAATTATGAATACTTTCTTCATTTAAAACAAAAGCTAGAATTTGTTGGTGGCCTTAGGCACAAAACTTGGAAAATCTTAGTATGAAGTATGACAAGATATAATAAGTCAGTAGATTAAGTTATATGCAATATTACATATTACAATTTAATGGAGATGATCAATTTCACAAGGTGGGCCCCAGTTGTACATTATAATTCATTATCATGTGACTATAACTTATTTTTGAGTTATCATAAAAATAATTCAAATAAAAATGTCCAAGGGGCCATTTTCTCTTTCTTTGTGTATAAAGACTATGTAATGATACCAAATTAAGTACCTACCATTGCCAGCCAGAGTGATTCCAGTCTTTGCATCATCGTAAGGGAAGTAAGTGTTGCAGTCTGCACCTATCCAGTGCCTGTTGCACACACACTTTAGCTCATTACTGCAAACCTGAAATCCAAGCAGAATGAGATAAAGAAATGTCTGACAAAGTGGGCAAGCCTGATGTTTTGCAGTAGTCTGAGAAGAAAGTGTCACAAGGCTATAACCTTGACATCTCGACCCAAGCCACCAAATCTAGCTACCTCAAGGTCATGGGAACTAAGAACTCCCATAAATAAAGCATAGAAAAAAATTCACATGAAAACGACACCAAATTTTTTTGAACTATAGGAAAATACTCTTTTTTCATTTAATCCATCCAGGAAACAGAATTGACACCTAGATCTTATAATTCAAAACAACTTTGAACAGAGTGGGAAGCAGGTTTAAGCTAGGTTTAAGATCAGTGAAGTGCCCACCAAGGGATCTGAGACATGAATTGAGGGATAAGACCCCCCCACACACACACACAATCAGGCACACCGCCAGCACCTCTGGGCCCACTCGGGGCCCTGAGGCATGGAGCCCGGAACCAGACCCCCTCCTACAAACAGGCACACCACCGGAGCTAAGGAGCATGCCAAAAACATCACTTCCATGTGGGTGGCTCATCACAGCCACCACAATAACCACAGCTGCCGCAAAAGCAGCTAGATGCCACAACCACCACGCAGATTGTCCGCCAGCCACTGGAGTACATTGGCACAAGGAGAGTCACCAGCAAAGACCAAAGAAAGAAAGAGGATGTTTCTCTCCACAAAGCCCATTCCAGAGTGACAGAAGAAGCATCTGCTCTATGATATTATTGGGGGACCTGATCACACCTCTCAGCATTAGACAGATCATCTAGGCAACTAATCAACAGAGTAATTATTACTCTTTCAGAAGGAGAGAAGAAATCTAGGGTAATTAGAGGGGGGAGGGAAAGGGGGAAAGAGAAACTGGACCGGGGGCATAAAGAATAAGTATGACTTGTAACAATATATATGCTAGTAATATTGATTTGGTCAACATATCTCAATGTTGAACCCCCAAGATATGTATAATCAATTATGATTCAATAATTTTTTTTTAAAAAAAAGATCGGTGAAGTTTCTCCTGAAGCAGGTTTTTGACTGCAGGGGTTTCTCTCTTATTTGATCTAATTTTCCAGAAGACAATACACATCTACATCTAAACGTAACTATGAAATAGCCAATTAGGAGTTACAGATTAAGAAATATGCAAAAAGAAAAAGGGTTATGTTTAAAGTCAAAAGGTTTAGATTTTAGTTACCATTTCACTACCATCTTACTAAGGGACCTTAACAGGCACCTACTTTCTCTAAGCATCAGTTTCCATATCATATAATAGTACCAATGATACAGTGTACAGTGATCATAATAAATTGCATAGCTAATGTTTACTGAACACTTACTACGTCCTAGGCATTGTTTTAACTGCTTTACAAGTACTAACTCATTTATTCTTCACAACAATCCTATAAAATAGGTACTATTATTATCCCATTTTACAGAGGAAAAAATTGAGTCCACAGAAAAGCTAAATAATTGGCCCAATGTCACCCAGTTAGTAAGAAGCAGAGCTGGGATTCAAACCTAGACCATCCGATTGCAAGCTCACACTCAACTACAAGATGTATAGTACTTAAAGAGTATTTACTGTATTTCTCGTTCTAATTTTTTGCCACATAGACAGCATTTACTGTAAGTTAAAATTAAAATTATATAGAATATAAGACCTCTGTATAATGCATAATTATTATAAATTATTTGGATGCTATTTGCCATCTGATTTACTCATATCTATCACTCTTTACTAATTTATTAGACAAATGGTTATTGAACATAGTTATGTTTGGTCTGTGTTTTGTATTCAGAATTTTAAGATGAATAAGATATGGTTATTCATTAGCATAAATAATCAAGAAGTAATTTCACTGTTCTTTTCCTCTGTCCCCCCGCCAAAAAAGTATTTCCCCTTAATTTCCTCTTAATGATTAAGGAAAGAAGACTTAGTAGACCCATGATATAGTAGCAGAACTACTCGCTAGATGTCTTTTTTATTCCTACGTATCATAAAAAATTCTTATCTTTTGGCAAGGAATAACAGTTAGTTACTACCCTAAGTAAATTCTTGGCATATCCCTCAGGGATACACATCAAATGAACAGGAATTGAAGGCTTATAATTACCAAACAGGGACTTTTTTTTTTTTTGACAGGTAGTTGATATGGGGATCCAAACTCTTGACCTTGCTGTTATCAGCACCACACTACTGAATAAGACAACCAGCCAGCCCTCAAAGAGGGATCTTTTACCTCAACTAGATAATACAACAGGTTCAAGCAAAGAATCTGGAATGAGGGTAAAAAGAAAATCATAGCACACACTAAAAAAAAAAAAAAAAAAACCCAACATTTTCTTTTGCTAGTACAGGATTTTCTATCTGAAAATGACAAAGCTGTTATCACTAATAGAGGATGAATATTTAAACTATAAACTTAACTACACAGGACCTACATCATATAACTGATAGACTTAAAAGTATTTCAAACACCATTCTTTCTATTCACCCATAAAAACATTTCCCTAAAGTATTCTGTTTTTTTTTTTCCTTTTTGTCTTTTTCCGTGTCCGGCAACGGATCGCAACCCTCAGTGTTGCCCCCATACCGGACCGGGACCGGCAACGGGATCGCAATCCTCGGTGTTGCTCCCGCGCCCCGCTCAGCCAGTGAGCGGGAACCAGTCTGTATGTGGGATCCGAACCCTCGGCGGGAGCGCCGCCACGCTTCCCAAGCAGTGCACTATAGCAGTGCGCCACCGGGCCGGCCCAAAATTATTCTGTTTTTATTTCTAGGATTTATCCTCACCTGGTACACACTGGTGTGGTTACAGCAGTTATTTATGGTCTATTTTGATTGGCCAATGGACAGACCACACCAGTTGCTAAATATTGTGACCATCATCCCTATTTTTTACCCCCTTTTTTTTTATCCCATTGTAGTTGATTAAAATTTGTCTTGTAGTTCACTCCTAGAAAATTGGCATTATATTATATGTGATCACATTAACATAAGAAAGGAAGACAAAAGAATATGGTTAGGAAGATAAAAGAATATGATTAGGAAGATTATCCTTTGTCTTATTCTCAAGCTTTCTCAGATTACATAACTGAAATATTGAAATAGCTATCAAATTATTATTTATATATCAAGTAGATACATGGATAATCCTGTTTTCCATAATTAGGGAAATAAGCAGCTTAGGGTCATGTAGAGTATGCATAAAGCAAATGTACTTCACAGGGCCTGGTTTTCCGAAGCCTTGCAGTTTCAGATATTGACCTTGCTAAGGACAGGAAATTTTCCCCAGGCTATATAGTCTCTGTTGTAAGATAAAGAATTGTAACACAGCAAGGTTGCTGGCTCAAAGACAGACAGGTTACTGATTGATATGTAAAGATACTGGGAAGCTGCTGTAGGGAGAAGGAATGTTTTGCTAAGATCGTTAGTGAACTGACTTAATTGCATGTTACCAGCTTCTATTGTTGAACTTGTTAAACTGTACTTAGCAAAAACCCCACCTATGTTCTCTTCCTTTAACTTCCTGGTCTGGAGAATAAATGCAGGAAGAGAACCCCAATCTGTGGTTAATTTCCCAAATGGAAGGAATGCCTCACTCTTGAGGGTTCTGGGAGATTAACCCCTTTTTGAGGCATCTCACTAATCAGAAGAGAAAGCTTTGAGTAATCTTTGGTGGCTCCGTCACCCAGGAGAAAAGGGGTGACAAATCCATGGGAGGCAAAGCAACAGGGTCATATCTATTTCTGTGATATAAAAGAAATAAATAGTTCCCCATGGTGAGGTACTGAATACTCACTCCATTTCCTGAACAAACAGTGCCCTCTTTACTGCTTAAGCAGGTACTGAAGTTGAAGGAAGCCACAGGAAGACACCTGTGTTCGAAGCACATCATTTGAGGACCACAAGGTGTCCCATCTTCCACGTAGCCAAGATCTACATCTTCTTCAAGCTTAACATGCCCACCACTAAAAATAAATTGGGAGAAAGAAAATGGCATTCCATTAATTTATATTCATCTTGAGAACATGCTGAACAACCAAAAAGTGAATAACAGCACTTTATTTTCTATTTATTATTTCATAAAAACCAGTAGCATAAGCATGTTCAACCTCTAAATGGAGAAAGCAGTTGAATCTTTGGATCTAATTCTTTTTGGAGAAATTAATATAGTGCATGTGATGGTTAATTCTAGGTGTCAACTCAATTAAAGAGTAACACAGAATCCCTCAATATGGGCAGACACTATCCAATCCTCTGGGGGCCCAGAGAGGACAAAAACAGAAGATAAGGTAAATCTCTCTTTCTATCCCCTGGAGCTGGGATACACTCTGCTCTCTTGCCTGTGGATATCAGAACTTGAGACTCAGCTTTTGGGTTACAGGACTTAACACCAACGGCACCATCAGCTTCCCTGGTCCTGAGGTTTCCAGACTTGGACTTAGCCACGCTACCGGCATCTGGTTCGCAGGCGGCCTATTGTGGGACTCCTTGGCCTTCGCAATCGCGTGAGCCAATTCCCCTAATAAATCCCCTCTCGTAGGTTTATATATACATCCTGTTGGTTTGGTCTCTCTGGAGAGCCCTGACTAATACAGTGTGGGATTTAAACATTGTTTAACAAGGGCCTGAACTGAAACACTTTTATCATTTGCCTCAGCAAGCCATTATTACTAGTATTTGATTTGATAAGTAGGTTCCAAGATTTCAATCGTGTTTCAAACAAGGATGAGAATCGGTTTGGGTTTACATTTCCCAAAATGATGGCATATGTACAAATTATATTTGAGAATCATTAAGCTAGTGTACCTTCACTATTCAATGTAGCAAGCCCACATATTATGCAGAAATAAAAAAAAAAACAGGATAAGAATTGAAAATATATAGTCATACTCAATGTATTCATATGGTACCATGTTCATGCTGGTTTAAAAATCCTCATTCTTTTTGTTTGTTTATATATTTATTTTTATAAAAATTATACATGCACACAAAGAGTCAAATAGATGAATTGGTTTGTTAAATGCAATAAAGCCATCCCCTGCCCCTACTCTTCCATATATCCCTCTTGGGAGAAAACCACTTTCTACTCTTAATTAATACTTTTGTTATTTACATACATTATCTTCAGATAATGAGTTTGCATTATTATTTTTTATTTTTCAATTTTAGATGATATCAATTTACTTCCCTTTATGAAATTTGAGAGTTTAGCTCTTTTCTCTCCTTCCCTCACCACCTACACAATTTTCCCTTTCCCCTATCCTCCCATCATAAATTTTGCTTAATCAATAGTTAAATCAATAACAAATATGCACATTATTTTAACTATGTCAGTGCCTCTCAGTTGAGGGATAACAGTGTGTCAGGATTAAACCCTTTCTTTTCCTGTACAACTTTTTGTTTTCCCTCAGACTATGAAGTCTCTAATCTGTTGTTGTTTCTGTGCCTACTTTTCTAAGAATTTACATTAATTCGAAACTAACCCAATCTCTCTGCTAGCTTTCAAAATCTCCACTAAAGATGTGTCTGAACATCAATTCATCTTCCTGTAGAAATCTCTCCTGGAGTTTCTGACCTGCTCCTATCCCTTCTGGTTGTCCCCAGGTACCTGGCATACATTGAACTGTAAATCTTGGCTTTCTCCTCAGTATGAATTTGAGGATTGTCCTTTCTCTCTCCTGGGGGATATCTTGTTTCTGTATTCCTTGCCTTTCTTTTTCTTGGTTTACTCCTTCATTGTGGTGGAGTGCAATTTCTAGCAGTTTTCTGACAAAGGGCGTAGAAGGGTAAATTTTGGGAAAACTTGCATATCTAAAAATGCCTTTATTTTCCACCTTTCCACTTGATTGATATTTTGCCAGCATACAAAATTCTGGTTTGGAAACAATTTTCTCCATTGTCTTCTGACTCCTCGGGCTCCTGTTGATAAGTCCAAAGCCATTCTAATTCCTAAGCCTTTGCTTTTTTCCTCCTTTCTGAAAACTTTTGGGATTCTTTTCTTTGTCCTAAGGTTCTAAAATTTCATAATGATATATTTAGATGTGCCTCTAATTTCACTCATTGTACCCAGCACTTGATGAGCCTGTTAATATGGAAACTCAAGTCCTTCTAGACAATACTCGAGTTATTCATTAATGATTTCCTCCTTGCTATTTCCTCTGTTCTTTATTATATCTATTCTAATTTGATGTTTTTCTCTATGTTCTATTTCTTTGTCTTTTCTGTCCTACTTTCTGGGAGATAATTTCAACTACTGAGTTTCATTTCTGTCTTCATAGTTTTAATTTCCATCGGCATATTTTTCTTCTCTGAATGTTCCTTTTTTTTTTAAATAGCACCCTATCTTCTTTTTTCATGACAGAAGTAGTTTTGTTTTTACCCCCTGGTTGGTTGTTTCTGTCTTTTTTTTTTTCACATTAGAGACTTTTTTCACATGACTTGTATCTGGAAATTCTAGGGCTTTCCGATTGAACATCATTGAGGCTGAACCACTTCCATACAACCCTGTTATCAATATTGCTTACTGTCCTCCAGCTTGGAAACCTTCTCTTTAAATCTTCCACAGGAGAGTGGGCAATTCCCGGTTCAGTTGAGTTGGCGACAGAAGCTATATATCTAACTTCTTCAACAGACTTTCACCTATCTTCTTTATTTCAGCCCCTCCCTCCAACTCCTTTTCTCCTTCCACAAATAAATGATGCTGCCAATTTCTGAGCCTTTTGGGAAGTGACCATATATCTTGGATTGGTTCCCAGTTTTCCCCATCACTGACATAGGAATTCAACTTTTTTGCTTAAAGCCATGTGCCAGACATCCATTTGCTTTTCGCATTCCAAAATTTTGTTGCTCTTGTTTCCTCTCCCTCTCAGTGCCTCCCTATGGATATATGAACTCTAAAAAAAGAGCTATTTAGTGATTTTTTAGATGCATATATTCAATCCACTGATTTTACCCACAAGTCCCCATTCATTTTCCTTAATAAGAATGAAATGCAAACTAAACCTTGCAAGATTTTACTGACCAACTAAACACATCTCTAGCAACCATAAAATATTCCACATTCAACAAATTCTTAACTTTTTATTTCTTTTCTGTCAGGATCTACTCAATCACCTCTATGAACAAGAAAACTGAACTGAACACAGAAGTAGTCCTAAGCTGCATTCCTGGGAAGTCAGATGACTAATGCGCTCACAAAATGGTAAGATAATTACCTGCAGTTTAATGTTCTTCCCTGTTGCATAACTAAAGTAGATGTGATTTCACCATCGAGTTCTCCAAGCCTTGGGATATTACCAACACTCGTACACAAAAGGTAACCACAAAGCACATCCCTGTGTTAAAAGAGTACCAATTATTTACTTTACTTCTTTTCCCAAAGATATAGCAAACCATGTACAGTTAGAATGATAAACTCTCATTTTAGCATTTGATTTTCATCACCATATTATTTACTCTTATGCCAAGCAAAATAAAATAAGGCCAAATTAGTTTTTCTCCTGCTCTAAAAAGTGCCTTCTCTGAAACTCTTATTGGTGTACCAAAATTCCAATTGTTTTCTAGCTTTTCTTTTACTGTCCATTAGTTCAAGTATTTAACTAAAGATTATTATCCATCAAATAGAATTCTTTTATATCAGAATTTCTTTCCCCATAACACATCATTGGATATACTAAACTAGTTTTGTAATATCTGATATTTATTATATTAATATTTATTAAATATTTATTTAATATTTGACCTTTGGATGAGTATTCTTTTGGAATACAGAGGTTTCTTCAGCCTGTCATCTTAGAATTACAGAAGAGAATATATATTGCGTATATTTTAAAGATTCCCAACCAAAAACACTCATCACCCCTTTTTTAATATATTTCACTACTTCTCCAACTATCACATAGGGTTCTAATTTAACTTATAAAATTTTTCATAGGTGTTAAATACCATCTTACATATTCTTCATGTATAACACATTTTAATCATTAATAGAGTTAATGATAAACATATATTTTAATAAATATCTTGTGAAGACCAATTAGTAGACCAGCAAAATTATATATGGAAATATCAGACTTTATCAGATGGAGAAAAGAGAAAAATTGGGACCTGTATCTATCACTAACTAGAAAAAAATATGTATTAATTCAATCTTTTAAATAATTCTTAAATTATATTATCATTGTACTGTATTATAAACAAAAATGATTTCTCAATACAGAAGATATATTCATTCAAAATTTTTTGAGTGTCATTTATGTTTATAAACCTTACTAAGTAATTTAAAATATATTAAAAAAAATTAAACATAATTTTTATCCTCAAGGAAATCATACTCTGGGTGAGAAGATAAATCACATGCATAAACAACCATAAGGGCCGTAAGAGTAGTACAAAGGGCTGAGGGAGTTCAGAGGAGAAGAGGAAGGTGATTTATTTCCAGAATAAATCAGGAAATAATTTACAGAGAAAATGTTTTCCAAGCCGGGCCTTGAAGAATGGAAAGATTTTTGACTGCTGATGGTGTAAGTATAAAGGTTGCTTCCAGAGGAATGAAGAGCACAAACACAGGCATAAAGGTGGGACAGTGTAATCCACATGTTAGCAATGGCAAGGTTTGCTAGATTTTAGAAGAATAGAGAAGGAAAAACAAATAATGCAAGTTGTGGCAAATTGTGGAAGAGGTATACTGACAAGCTAAGGTTCCATTTTATTTGTTAAACAAGACCATACGACATTCAGTAAAGTGGTTAAGACAGAGTTCTGAAATCAGACAGCCTGAATTCTAATTCTCCTTCTATTACCTCCTAGATACATGACCACACAAATTAATTAAATGTGCCTCAGTTTCTTCCTCCATAAAATGGGAGGACTGCCATAAATATTAAATGGCATAGCTTATATAAAATGTGATAAGAGTGTTTAGCACATAGTGTGCACTCAGTAAATGTAGGGTACTATTCTTGCTAGTAATTAGCTATGTGGAACCAGTGAAATTTGAACAAAGAATTGACATGGGCAAAAAGATTGAGATTGTTCTGATTACCATCTAAGTAGCATCTAATAAGCATGTTCAAGACTTCTGGCACAGAAAACAGTCAAGTGAATTTTGTAACAGGTGAAAAGCTAATATAGATCTTAGTTGGAGTAATGGCAATCGGAATGGAAATGAAGAGATTGAATTAAAGACAAATGGTGGAGAGGTCAAAGGGAAGAATGCACATGATTTGATGTCTGGACAATGTTCAGAGGGGAGGTAGAGTCCGGGGCACTGTGAGATTTCTAAACAGAAGGACAATGAGATATGGAGACCTTTGGCAAAAACAGGGGTGGTTTAGAAAAGTCAGAGCTGGTTAATTCAATTCAACGGCACTGAGTACGTATTCTGGTAGCTTTTATTTTTGTTGCTTTTGAGATGCTGGTAGGTGTCTTCTAGGTGAGAAAGTCCTAAGGTAGCTGCAAGTGTGACCTGGGCCGTAGGAGACAGGTCAGGGTACATGTCAAGATTTGGGAGGCCTCTAACCCTGGGCAGAGATGAGGTGAGTAGGCAAGAGCATGCTTTGTGGGATGCAGAAAATAGGAAGGTCCTGGTCACTCAAAAATTTAGGCTTGAGGGGTTGGCCGTTAGCTCTGTTGGTTAGAGCATGGTGCTGATAACATCAAGGTCCAGGGTTTGATCCCTGTACTAGCCAGCCACCAAGTAATAATGGTGATGATGATGATGATGATGATGATGATAATAATAATAATAAAAATACTGATAATAATAATTATGCTTGTAACTGACTAAGGAATGAGTTCTGGACTAACTTCACCTCACCGTTTGTTGCACTGTATCCATGTGTCTTTGTCTTTTCCACAGTTCCCTTTCTCAGTCCCTTCAATATTCAGTTTCTCATAGCAGTATTTGTCTGATGCCATCACCTCTGAAGCAGAACAGAATTTTCTATCAGTGGGAGAGGTAACATGTGAGCTTTTCAAAATGTTTTCAGTAAAGGAAAATTGCAATTTAAGGACTCCTTCACTACAGTGTTATCAGTTCCAAAATTTGTACCCAAGGTTCACAAGAGTTTTCCTATATCATAGACATGTATGACTCAGGCACATTTTTCATGACTGATCATTTGAAATTTGAAAAACAAATATATTAAGATCTCTGATGGGATTCAGGCTATAAGCTGCAAGTACAACACTCCTCAAGATTTGGCTAATAATTAGGGGAAGAAGCTACCAAATTATTCCTGAATAAATACTCCATTCCTTAATCTCAGTGCCAAATACAATGAATGAATTTCTCACTCAGCAAATATTATTAGTTCTAAAGACAATTTTATTAAAGTAGAAAGGCACTACAATTAGATTCAAGAAACAGTGTTACAATTTCTACCTTGCTTACTAATTCTTAATGGCTATCAAAATTTTGTTTTGCTTGTAGACAAGCTTGAATTCATGCTAAATCTGTCATGTTTTTATCTTTTCTGAAGCCAGGGTTGGTTGATAGAATTATTTAAGAGGAAAAAATGACTTTTGCAAACTAATCAAAAGAAGACTGTTGGTATATACTTAGAAACACACACACACACACACACACACACAACTAATTATGTTGTTAGTTTCTTTTCCTACTTCTTGCTATCAGCTACTATTTTTGCTTAAGTGGAAGAAACAAAAACTACCTCTTTGTTCAGAATATAAACCTTCATGACTACATTTTCCCCCCATTGCAATGTTTCTATTTGCTCAAAGGGAATATTTACTTCTCCTCCCAAAAGGATTGTAGCTACTACCCATGACAACTAAGGATTATCATAATTTTTACAGTTTTCCTAGTACAAACTATTTTTTGAAAGAATTTAAAACAAAAATTCCTTCCAAAAGTTTGGGCCAGTAATACTTCTAAAAAACATACACACTCACACATATATGTGTATGTGTATATATATATCATAACATTTAAATGTAAATTTAAATAGAGTATAACATAAATAATATGATTTAAATATAAATGTTCTATATTTTCCTCTGAAAACCGACAAACTTTGAAGGGAATAGCATTAAAATTTCTTTCTGATACATGACAGCTACCTCAGGTCACCTGTATCACCTATAACTAGGAAAGCCAGCTAGAGGTTAAGAAAGATGGTTGAAGAGGAAAAAGCAATTCTAGCTAAAATGCTACAGTTCAAAGTCAAAGATGTCCATCCAGGGTCTGTGTCCATCCCATATGGTTAGACAGGTTTTGCTTAAGGAGAGTGTAAGTGGAGCTGAAATCCAGGTTTGCTCTATTCTATGAGTGGCTCACCCTGGCAAGGGCTTCATCTACCTGCAAGCAAAGGTACCATGTGTCCTGTCCACAGGAACTGCCAACTAGCCAAGATGTGTGAGGCTATGTCTTCTCAAATGCCTTTCTCTAATTTCCAGAAAAGTGTCCCTGCTGAGATCTGTAGTAGCTTTGAGAACTGCCCCAGTTATCAAGTGGTCAAAATTTACTTTCGGCCCACACATCCTTAAGATGTCTGCCTGGTATCATACTTTAAAAATGGTCAAACCACACTATTTACTTACTTTGCCCCCAGATGTATTTGCATTGTCTATCCCTGGTTTTACATCTTCCTCCAAAGCAAATTCCCTAAAATGGAAAAGCAAATACCCATTAGCGATGCAATGACTGCTTAAGTCAGACAACTGAAAAAGAAAATATGACTAGAAAAATAGTAGGTGAGTATTATAAAGGCCTTTTACCTTCAGAATTGATTATGAAACATTTAACTTGATCTTCCTAGTTTGATAAAACTTCAGTATTCCTTTCATGCTGGTATACATAAAAATTTAGGCAAAAATGCAGTGACCTACCTGAACACCATCACATGAATATCCATCCATTTTATGAACATTAGGGGCACACTAGGAAAAAAGAACACACTATGAACCAAATGCAGAGCGTAATGTCAGGCTGAGCTAATCCCTTTAATATTTTCATTTTTAAAATCACATCTGATAATATAAATCATCTGAAAATAAAAACAAAGATCAAGAGAAAATATAATTGGTGTACTTTCCCCTAAAAATATGAATCTATGACAGGCAAAAACAGTTTATTAAATGGCAATAGACTCAGCTAAAAGCATCTTGCTTCATACAGAAACACTACTCCTCAGAGCAAAAAAAAGCAGAGCATAAAACAAAAGCAAGAAGTATGCCCAAACAGACCGAGCAATAACTACAGATTCCTCTCTCTTGCCATGAGAAGCAATACAGTCCTTACACTTAAAATAATCACTCTCAAGCAGAAGTCTACTTTGAGAATGTTTAGGAAAGAACATTCCTTATAACACAATTTGTTTCTCTCACAGCCACTGTAGAAAATTACAAAGCATTCTTGTGTGGATATAAACAGACAGTAATTTTAAAATTTATTATACATGTCCTCTATCATTATAGTAATTAGTCATTTGAGAAAAAGTTGGGAAATATAAAAAAGTATTAAAAAATGAAAGACATAAGTCACTTATATTCCCACCATCCAAAGGCAGCTACTTTTTATATTTTGGTACATTTTTCTCTTCACCTTTTTCTATAAAAATTGACATTTTTAAACGAGGTATGATCAAATGATAGATAATATTTTATATTATGCTTCTTCCTTTTACTTTCATCATATAAATTTCCGCATGTCATAATTAACTTCTTTGTAGATACCTTTTTAATGGCCGTAACACATTGCAATCAGCCAGCAATGTATTATAACTATTACTTACAGTTATCTCCAATTAATTTATGCTGTTACAACTAACGCAACAAGAGCATCTTTGTACATACATCATTTTTTTGGATTTAAAAGTATTTTTAAATTACTGCTTGTTTATAATCACATTCCAAAAAAGTTGCTCTAATGCCATCACTTTATATTTAGGTAATCATTCACTCAATCGTCCTTATCACCAGTGTTAGCTTAGAAAACATTGCCAATTAGATAGCAAGAAAGAAAAAATACTTTTACATGAAAGATCTTTATTTAGTCTCTTAGGAGACTACCTTTAAAATAAAGCATTTTTAATGGTTAATGTAGGTATGCCACTTTTGAATTACTCTTTTCTGGAGATAAAAATATGTAGGCAGTCCTCACTTTGCACAGCTCTGGTACGTGTGAATTTCCGTTTCCATGGTTTTGCTAAGTAACACCAGTCCTCCAACAACACAGTTCCAATAGTAGTCACCACAGTATATCATCTGTGAGTAATTGCTTAAGGCACAAACTTTGCTACTAGCTCTTCGGTCAGCTTATCACTAGGCAAATAACAGTTGTCCATTATAATCAGTGACCCATCTTGTCATTTCTTTCAAAGTCTGTCAGCGACTGGTCACTGCCCATCTGTTTGTTCCGTTCACACACAAACAGCAAAGTGTATAATTGTATTGCTTCTTTGTCTCCCAGTGACGCCATGTGACATTTTATAAAAATGGATAGTCAAAAGAGGGAACTGGCCAACAAAGATGAAAGTGGAGCGGGGCCGGCCCGGTGGCGCACTGGATAGTGCGCCGCTTGGGAAGCGCGGCGGCGCTCCCGCCCGAGGGTTCGGATCCCACATACGGACCGGTTCCCGCTCACTGGCTGAGCGAGGCGCGGGAGCAATGCCGAGGTTTGCTGTCCCGTTGCCAGTCCCCGGTCCCCGGTCCGGTACGGGGTCAACACTGAGGGTTGCGATCTGTTGCCGGACACGGAAAAAAGACAAAAGACAAAAAAAAAAAAAATGAAAGTGGAGCAAAGTAATGAAAAGCAATACACCACAAGTGAAATCTGAATTGAATGTAAATGGAGTTATAGAAAAAAATAGCTGACTGTGGGTATGTAGATAGTGCTGTTCAAGAGACTCTAGATATGCAGCCAGAGGAACTCGGTGAAGGAGGCCTTACTGACGTAAATGAATGGCGTGGCTGTGACATAACAGGTGAAGATGTCCCAGAGGAAGTGACGCCGGCAAGAAACTTCACATTCACATCTTCACATTTCTCAGAGGCATTTCATGACATGTTGAAAGCATGAAGGATAAAATGATGAAAGCTGATCCAAACTTAGAAAGGAGTATGAGAATTTGACAAGGCATAGAAAAAATGCTCACTCTCTATCATAAGGTTTATGTAAGAAAAAGGCGAGCACAGTTCAAATGACTCCTAAGTTTTTTTTTACAAATAAATAAAATATTTTAATTCTCAATGTTTGTTTTAATTTACAGTGTACTAAATAAATATTAGTTTATTTTTCATTTCCCTATGCATGTATAATAAACAGTAAGAGAGTTTCTAATAGTTTGACAGTATTTTTTAAAGATCACAGAACAACTGTAATATTTTCCATTAATTATTAAGACCATTTTGCATGGTTTCAGCTTGCATGGTCATTTTTACAGTCCAGCACTATCGTGCAAAGCAAGGACTGCCTGTATATACACTGACAATTTCGTAATCTGTGAACTCTTACCAAAGTTTATCCAGTTTCCCTTACTTGTCTATCTACAACTAAATACTACTAAATTCAAGAGCACCTATTAATAGCTGAGGTGATGCAAGCTGTTTCAGATAGGGAAGAGTCAAGAAAGAGAACAGGGTCCCCTCTCAGAACACTGTGCTCTGTGGTCTGTCTGCCTTGGCTGACTTCTGTTGAAATAAGCTGAAGAGAAGGAGTCTTAGTTTCTTCCTTCACCAAGTAGATAAAAGGAAAATGCATTTTACTCCCTACTTAAAACAAAAACAAAATAGTTAAGGCATGCATGCAGTCTTAGGTTAGTTCCTCATTAAGACAAAATTATGCTGAGCATCTGCTCAAGCTTTGATTACTGAAACTTAAATTCCTGAAAAATAGAATAAGAGGTGATTTGAGAGAGAGACATGAGCATCTTGTCCATTTAAGTTTCTCCTGGGGTCAGTGCACTAAAGATACTCCCACTTTTCCCTTAGGGTTTAGGGTAATTATTTTGTAAATTACCTGGCTTGAATTTCCTGAGCATGTTTCACGAATATCACAATCATTTACTGCTTCTCGGCACACGGTCCCCATAGGCTGAAACTAAAATGAACAAAAATCAATTCAGAAAAAAACTGCAGAAGGATAAAAAAATGCTAACAATATCATCTAAAAAAACAGCGAAATGGAAATTGTTTGGATAGGAATACCATAATCTATTTTAAGATGATAGCCTGTGAAAACCACAGTTATTGAATTAAATGTTATTTTAATAGTTTTAAGAGATAGTTATTTGTATGAAGTAATTTCCATAGTCATCACACACAAGCCTACAATATCCTGCTAAAACAGGACAGTGCTTGATGGTACATCTCCACAAAAAGGACAAGTTAGTCTAAGTTCCACTAATTCTTCCTTACAAATAGCTTTTGGACTTACACTTTGCCCTTCATTCTTACTGACACCTTTATTGCATTATTCTTTTTTGCCTTATCTGCTGAGAACTTGAAAGTTACATTTTGGGCTGATCACAAAAGTTAGATTTTCTGGTACAGCTATTTCCTCTCATGTTTTCCCTTCTTCTCCCCTGCTTTATTCTTACATGGATTTAATTCGTGGTCTTTTATTCTTTTCTAATGTTTCTATTATTTGTACCTGCATATGCAAGTTTTTGGTTTTTTCTGTTTTCAACCATCACAAATACTTCTTGTGTGGGAGTTGTACAAATAAATTTTTAACCTCATTGGATTTATAAATTATAAGAGTACTCACCAAAACAGAACAGAGATACATGAGGTTAACATTTTTCCCCTTCCCTCATCAATCCCTATCCTTTTCCCTCTACAAAATGTTAACACTTTGGACTGGATCCTTCTCTGCTTCTGTCTTTGCTCACCCAGACATACACATTATTGGGCTCCCCCCGACTTTCTTTATGAACCTCATCTTCTCTCCCTGCTCGGGAACCTCCAGACATTTGAGTCTGCTGTTCCTCTCACATGCACAGCTACTGCCACAGAAACTGGGGTTTCAACAGACATTTTGGGGGGGAGATATGAACAAAATTTGCATTCATTCATACATTCACTATATTTACGAAGCACTTAGAACACGCCAGGCACTGTTCTAGTCACTGAGAATTCAATGGTAAGCAGAACACAATAACTCTGTTTACAAGGAACTTGCATATTAATAGGGTTAAGTAGGCCATAAAAATTAAGAAATAAGCAAGATAATTTCACACGTTCTGGTTCTCTTCTTCCTTGGGATTGAGGCAAGCCACAATTTCAGAATATCTGAGGTAGAAATATGAGCACATTTGAGGTAGTGTTTGGACGAGAGTATAAATGTTGAAGAATTTCCAGGAAACTTCTGAAAGAAACCATAGTGAGGGAGGACTTGCTCTAAATGCTGGGATACAGCAGTAAACAAATCAACTGAAATCCCTGCCCTTTTGGAAGTTACATTAAAATCGGAGGAGAAAATAATAAAGTAAACAAGCAAAATTTTACAGCAGGGAGTCTGCAAATTATGGCCTGAAGGCTAAATTTGGCTGGCTGCCTGTCTTTATAAAGTTTTATTGGAACAGGGCTGGCTGGTTAGCTCAGTGGGTTAGAGCACAGACTTATAACACCAAGGCCAAGGGTTCAGTTCCCAGTACCAGCCAGCTACCAAAAAGAAAGTTTTATTGGAACGCAGCCATGCCTATCTGTTTCTCTATTTTCGATGGCTGCTTTCAAAGGCAGAGATGAATAGCTGCGACAGAGACTTTATGATGCACAAAGCTGAAACTATTTACTATCAGGCCCTTTACAGAAAAAGTTCACCAACCCCTGGCTGATAGGACACATTATTATAAATATATGTAGAAAAAATAGAGACACACATGATTTCTCATCTTGTATTTCTATTCCTCCTCCTCCATTCACTATCCTGCCCCTGCTCCACTAGGAGTGCACAGTGATAGGTAAGGGAAGAGAAAATGGTAAAAAAGATGTCACTTGACTGGTATAGCTGTAACTTATTTTATGGGATAGTAGTTAATCATGTCATTTTGTGTATTTTTATCTTATTATTTTGAACCTGTTCCTTGAAATGATTATATCACAAAGAGCCTAATTCTATTAATAAAAGGAAAAAAGGTATAATTAAATGCATTTTATAGATGAGCAGAATTAAAACATTGAGAATTAAGATAAATGATCCAGGTTCCCTCGTTATGGCAGATGGAGAAGCTGACAGAACGAACAGTTGTGGTAGCCAGGACGGAAGAATGTGCTTAATCTTCATTTCTGGAGAGTGGTTTCAGAGATCTCTGCCAGTGCCTTGCTTGTTTTAAAAAACTGCCAGAAGACACGGTGGTAGAGTGGAAGCCACAGAAACTGCTGCTAGCATATCTAGGATGTAACTGCACATCTATTTCCTACTCGCTGAGTGAGCCTGTGCAGGTTATTTCACTTTCTAGAGACTGGGATGGCTCAACTGTAAAAATCAGGATAATAATGCCTATCTCAGAAGAGTGCTTGTGAGCATTATCTAAGACAGTGGTCTCAACCAGTGGTGATTTTTCCTCCAAGAGGACATCTGGCAATGTCTGGAGAAATTTTCTGTTGTCACAACTGGGAGGGGTAGTGCCAGCATCTAATGGATCGAATCTAGGGATGCCGCTAAATATTCTACAATGCCCCGGATATACCCTCACAAGAAAAAATTATCAGGCCAAAAATGTCAACAGTGCCAGGGTTGAGAAATCCAGATATAAGAGTATATAAATTGCTTAGTATAATCTCGGGCACACAGTAGATACTTACTATTATAGTTTCATATCCCACAATCCTTTAACTCATTAGTCTAAAGTTACCCAACCACCAAATAATCACTAAGACAGTTCTGTGCATATTTATTCATTCATTAAACAAATATATACTGAGAACCTATACCAATTACTAAGAACCTACCTTTGCTCCATAAAATGCACAGACTGGAGGGACAGATATTAAACCTCAAAAATAATGTATTAAACCAGATTTTATATAAGAGGAGGGAAAAAAATCAGATTTCTTTGGGAAAGGTAAGCCCCCAAAAACTGTCAGTCTTATAAAGGCTTAAACACTTGGACATAGGTATAAGGATACTGTTGGCAGGATGAAAACAGATTAAGTCTGTAAAAATGCAATCTAAACTTTCATGCACAATAATACACGTAAGGCATTATCACGTCTAAAAGGATTCCTTTCGCTCCCTCAACAGCTAATACAAGAGGTATATCAAGCTAAGCAATAGAAAAGAAAGATCCATTGAATATCCATTTGACTTTACAAAGAAGGGTAAACATCAAAGATTGGTAACACCTGATTTCATTTAACATGCACACTCCTTAGGGAGATAGAATGGAGAGGATTGTCTCTGAGGATTACCAGGGTTCAGGCCCTAGCCACCTGACTTATTTGACGTAAGAACTTGGTCAAACTACTTAACTACTACAAGCCTCAGTGTTCTCATCTGTTAGATGGGAATGATAATAGTAACTATACCTCACCAGATTGTGTGAGGATCCTGTAAAGCACCTGGCACTTAGTTATTTAATATGTGTTAGATGTTATTATTATTATTAGATTACATTTACCTAGCCTTAACGATTTAATCAGCTATGTTCTTTTTTCTGTTAATTGATCATTAATCAGCATTTATTTACCTTGCACTTTTTACAACAAAGCCCATCACTGCATTGAGAGTCTTGAGTCAAGGTGCATTTCTTACAACACTCTGCTCCTTCTAGGACACACTCCTAGAAACATAAACATTTGCAAAACATCAGAAAATGGTGTCATTTTCTTGAAAGTACCAGGCTATTTTCTAAAATAAATGTACAAACTCATGGTTATAATCTTTTTCTACAAATGCTATAAAATTTTCAGGCATAACACTTGCTCTGTATCTCTCAGTGTGTGGACCTGGAATGACCCTAAATTACCTTTAAAAATCATCCAAACAACCAGAGACTTACTGCAGGAGTCCCACAGTCACACTCCTCTCCAGTTTCTATGAAGCCATTGCCACACTCAGGAGGATCAAGAAGCTGTGGGAGGAAAACCAAAAAGAAAATTAAAACACAGAAATATCAACATCAAAGACTCTGAGAGATCATAAGTGCCACATCTATACATCTGTCATACCTGCCAGTCATTCCAAAATATATTTTTATTTTCCTAAACCATGAAGCATGACTTTAGAACTTAGAACTTTAGGTCAGAAGTGTCTACTTCTGTTTCTATTTCATATTTAATATATGTATATATCTTTACATATATATTTACACATATAACATACATACCAAGTAGGGTCTGGTAAATGTCACCAAAATAAAAGATGATCTAACCATTGACTAAAACCAAACTAGATTGACTCCTGAAATTTCATTTCAAAAGTGAAGCAAGGGATTTGGAGTCAGAATGTCTGAATTAAAATCTTGGCTCAACTACTTATATTGGGCAAATTACTTAACATCTCAGAGACTTAAATACCTAAAGCAGGAATGATATTAAAATTAGCTACCCATCAACACTGTAAAATTGTTATGAGGATCAAGGTTACTCATCTGTGAAAAGCCTCTTAATTAAGTATATCTCCTTCTGAAACAAAGTTATTTCACAGACAGTGAGGAAAGCATCACAAAAATTAATATATCCATTGATTTATTTAATGTAAAATATAGCTCCTCCCATTAACATAGCTTTGTAGAGTACAGCAATAATAATTTCCCCCAGAGACTGAAGCAATTTTTGACCTGTACAAGAGTACATTTTAGGTCTGTTTTATTTTTAACTCTCCATAAATTTTATTATCTTTTGAGTATAATTTATCCTCTGGTGTTAGGCAAAATTAGTAAATAGTAAATAATTGCTATGTGCCAGATACATAATATTCATTCAAAAGTTAATGGAAGTTTTCATTTTATAGAATGAAAGTGTAAACAGACACACACTTTTATAACTAAAGGAACAAAACAAAGAAAAAATATTCCATCTAATTTCAAACATCCTCTCTTCTCCTACAAAAGAATAAACTTACCTCTTCATTTCGTTTTAAGTTGAAAGTGATAACAAATGAAAAAAGCCAAAACAAAAACTTATCCAGATGAAAAACATACCTATCCTCTTATTCAGGATTTAGAATAATCAATTATTTTGGTAAAAAGACTTGAATTGTTTTACATTAGTGGCAGCAGTGATTCAGTTCAAACATCTTTTCCAAAGCTTTTGAAAAGAGTCTTAAAATTGTCAATTTGCTTTGTAATGCAATATGACACTTTTCCTAAATTTCACTAGAGTGAAGAGACTGAAACCAGTATAATGATTGCAAAGGCAATGCTGAATATCACTGTGGTACACAGAAGCATGTCATAGTTCAAATAATTAACAAAGTCTTCAAAATGTAGGAGGAAGACTTGCTTTCTAGTCGGTTAGAGGATGCACTGCAAGTTGTAAAACCTTGTGACAAAGTCCAAGAACAGAAATACTTTGTCCTTTTCTGCTTTAAGAAGACTTGGTTTTCACATTGAGAAGTACTTGGAATTTCAATCAAACTGCTCATTCTGAAATGATGATGAGGGGAGATACGCTTCCCTTTCTACTGATATGAGTTATGATTAGTTATCCAAAGGGGGAGGGGAAACCAAGAAAATGAAAAAGAAAGTTAAAATGAAACCATCTTTGTAAGCTGCTATGGATTGAATTGTGTCCCCTAAAGTTCTGGGCATTAAAAACATAATCCCCACAGTGACAGTGTTATGAGAGTGGGAAATCCTATTACAGTAATTGAAGGTGAGGCCTTGAAGAAGTGATTAGATTGTGAGAACCATGCCCTTGTGAGTGGATTAACCCACTGATGGTTTAATGGTGGTCATGAGCTTGGCTCATGGCTTTAAAAGGAGAGTAATGAGAAGGTTAGTCTCTCTCTCTGCTTCTGCCATTTCGCCATGTGATACCCTGCATGACAGAAATGGACTAATACATAAGCCAACTTTGAATCATCATTTGGTCATATACAAATAAACTGGAAAATTTTCAGAAAGCAAACAGTCTTATTTCTACCTGCTTTCTATTTTCATCAGAATAACCCAAAAGCCCAATATTAAAGCTGACATTGAAAATGCAGATATTTAGCATATCTAGAATATGTACATGTAGGCCAAATTAAAAACTCTCTTTAATAAAATACAATGGTTGAAAAAATTGTGTTTATAATACTGCAGAAAGATTAATAACTCATTACTACACTCATTACCTTAGAAGGTTTGTTGAAAAGGCAGGCACCACCTCCACTATTCAGGAAGTCATGATACTCTTCGATATTACACTGGGTGAACTTTTTAGGTAGATAATAGCTATAAGAGAGAAGGAAATGAATAGCTGGGTACCACTTTAGCCTCCCTTGTTTGTCTATTAGTCTTAAAGTTGAACATGGTTAAAACTGTATATTATTCTTAAAAATGAAAGAATAAATTCCACTTATGTGCAACATTTACATTTAACCCATAAGAGTTTTATTCAATCATTATATTTCTAAATTCTTCATTTGATGACTAATGGTGACTATGGGCTGTCCTCTACTTGCATATGCATTCAAAGGAAACACACACATACACAGTACCTGTAATTTAAATCAAGAATTAGAAAAAATTTATTTCATAATGAGTCTTTCCTAAATGTCATAATTGGGCTGGAACCAAGCTGCAGAGCATCCTACAAAATAACTGACCTATAATCTATAAATGTGTCAGGTCATGAAAGTCAAAGAAATACTGAGGAACGGTTCCAGACGGAAGGAGGCTAAAGTGCCATAAAAACTAAATGTAATGCTTGCTCCTGAACCTTTTACTATAAGTGACATTATTGAAACACAGGGCCAATCTTGAAAGAGGGCTTAGGAATTAGATCATTTTACTAGTTGTATATCATTTATGTAGGAGGATATATTTGTTTGTAGGAACTATACACTGTGTTTGGTGGTGAGGGGGCACCAAGTTAGTAATTTATGATTCAGGCAACAAAACAGTTCTTTGTTACTAATCTTGCAACTTCAAGTTTAACATTATTTTTTTTAAATGTATACCAAAGAAAGTAATAAAGCGTCAATAGAAAAAAAGAACTTGGTTAGAGAATAATTTGGCAATATAATGAAAAACACTCAAAATGATCACACACTTCTATCTAGTAATTCTACTTTTAGAAGTTTTTCTTGAGAAATAAATTAGCTATGTGCACAAAGATGTATGAACAGAGATATCTATAATAGCAAAAACATGAAAATAACATAAATGTTCAATAGTAACACAACTATTAATTAAACTGTGATATATTAATAAAATATAACACCATAAACTGTAGTTATTAACAATCATAGTGTTGAAGAATAGTGAGACTCAGAAAAATGCTGACTATATAGTGTTAAGTAAAAAGTGAATAAACAATTATATATCCAGCAGGAACCAAATTTCATAAAACAACATTACAAATGGAAAGAGAAAAAAATACTATATTAAAATACAGCAGTATTTTATTATCAAAATGATTATCACTAAAGAAAAGCAATAAAATTTTATTTTCTATATTTCTCAGAAATTGTCTTACTTTGAGCTTTTATAAAAAGGTAAAAAAACAATTAAGATAATAATGGATAGTTTTTATAAAGTGTAGTCCCACTAGCCTGCAAGGACTGTGTCCATTTATAGCTCAGTGCTTAATGCTTTGTGAATAAATTAATTGTATTTAAGATGATATTTACTCTAAACTTATTTTTTAAGTGTTTCATGCCAAACTCTCCAAATAAAGATGTCTTGGGTTTAAGCTATTGAACTGTTGAACTATTTTACTTTCTTCACTTCCTTTTCCTAACAAGACATAAACTATATTTGAAAAGTTTCTTTCTTAAAAAAATTGAAATATAATTGATTGTATATATCTGTGGGATACAGCGTTGAATATCAATACCTATGTGCATACGTGATGCTCAAATCAGGATAATTAGTATATTCAACATTACACAATGTAATAATTCTTTGTTTCTTACATATGAGGGTACTTCAAAAAGTTTGTGGAAAAATAGAATTAAAAGACAATACAAATCTTTCCATGAACTTTTTGAAGACCCCTTGTATTACTTACTTTTTTCTTTTCAGTGCCTACGCCCCAGCCAATGTTTTTATCACCTTTCCCTCTCATCCATCCTACAAATCTCAGCCAGTTATTGAATTTTAATAGGCATTTCTTCAATGCATTCTTTTCCTGGTTTTGGTGGCTGGCCGGTATGCGGAATGCATTCTTAAAATTTTAATTTTTATTTCTTTAAATAGGACTGATGATATTCATTTCAACCAGGCTTTCCAACAGTTAGTACAGAGGAACTTCAGAGTAGATATGAGAGGAAATGTACCCTTGGGAATATATGGCCATAATTAGTGCTATTAGGTGATATTTGGCATAGATCAAACTATAGCATCATATCAGATAATGTTCTATATAAAGGGCTTTTCTCTTGCTTGCATGTATTTAATGTAAGAAGAGTTCCAATGCAAAGAGTTATACATATCTAAAGTTAGCCATCTGATTTTTCTGTATATTATGCTTACTGCTATGCAAATTGACAAAAAATTTTAATAAATAATCAGAATAATCAGCTATAATATACTAAATAGTTTTTTTTTTTTTTTGCCTTGTTTTTGTCAGACTGTCAATAACTTTTAAAAGTCAAGAACCTCTAGCATGAATTTTGTAATTGCTGGAAAATTACAACTGTAAAACAAGGACTTCCATCATTTCTTCTTATTAAACAAGTCCAAAGATATTTTGGAAAATATTTTAAATACATGTTTGCAAATACATTCCCTCTAACATTTGTTTTCTTTGTTATGCATATCCTGAGAGTTAAAGATTCAAATGCAATCGTAAATATTTAAGACTTGAAAATCAAGTCTGTACATAGAATTATGGTGTTAGAGCTGAAATATAAACTAGTGTAAAATGTAATCCCTCAAAAATTTACAACTAATTGGTGAGAGAATGCATAAGTACATACAGAACTAAATTATAATGCAAGGGTTAAAATTATAATAAACCTCAGATGCCTAGAAATGTGGTTAGACAGAAAAAAAGGGGAAAGGAATTCCACATGAAGAGAATATATTAAGGAAATCAAAAGAGGTTGGAAATTCATATACAATTATGATGAGCAAATATTTAAGAAGCTGAAAATCCATGTAGGATTACGGTTAGCAAATCAAAAAAGCTGGAAACCCATGTACAATTATGGTAAGCAAACTGCTCGTGAATAGTAGGGGAAAATGGATTGCAAATGAGGATGAAGAAAGATTGTGCCCATCTAAATATTTGAACCTTCTTCTTTAGACAATGAAGACACATAAGCTCTGAGAAGAAGAATGGCATTTAATATACAAGAGCTATATATTAACAACATGGATAAATCTCACAAACAATGTTGATCAAAAAAAGCAAGTCACAGAAGAATACATGAGGTGTGATATTTTCCATATAAATTGAAAACAGGCAAAGCAATGCTAAGTTTTACTCCAACGCACAAACATATAAGAGTAAAAGTATAAAGAAGGACCTGTGAATGGTACAAACCAAATGCAAGATGCGGGTACCTTGGTTAAGGCTGCGGATCAAAAAGGGAGAAGAGCACCACTGTAGGCAGTGTTTTACTTTTTTTAAGCTGGGTGTTAGGTATACAAAGCGTTCACTGTTTTATTCCTTATACCTTTTCAATGATGATGGAAATGGGGCTTAGGAGGGAGAAATAGAGCTGGAAAACTGCCTGAGTATTTGGAATGTTATTGAAATAATAACAGCACAAAACAGTCAAAGTTTAAAGGACAAAGTAGTGATATGCTTGGAATAAAAGAGATGGTGGTTGTAATGTTTATTTAGAAAGAATGAAAGATAAGAATTGATGCTGGATAGTGTGTGAAGGGTAAGACTATAACAGTGAAAACCTTTCTCAGGAGAGCAGTTTGTACACTTCTCTTCCCAACCCCTTGCTCAGTGACGTCACGTTGTGCAGCCGTCATTGAAGTTAGCCATTCTAGGCATACTCACGCCATGGAAATCTGGGAAAGCTACAAATCCAGGCTGTTTTTGTTGTTTTTATTTTTTAGTCAGCTTACTAGCATACTACTATTTTATAACCCATTTAATTAGATTTGAAGGAGATAAAAGGAAAGGGAATTAGTAGGTAGGCCATCAAGAACAAAGCTATTCCTCATTTCTTACATTTCTAACCTAGATTCAAGGCTAAACATGCCTCTGAGATCTACTAACTTAATTCACATCAATTGTTTTCATAAATAACATGCTATTTTGTGAACATATTTTATATACTGAACCACTACGGATATTTACTTCTGATTTTCTGATAAATTCCTGTGGTAAGGTTACATACCCCAAGTTACTGAGTACAATACTCCTAAGGAGACAACAGCACGGCAGAGAAAGGAAGACTGAGTTATTTTCTAATCAAAGTGGCTTACCCAGTGTCTCCCATTATGCATCCAGACCATGTGTCCTCACATTTACATTCACCTAAGAGAAAATGAATACACACGCCTTGTTATTAAGTGAACACATCTGCATTAATTAAGATAGTTTCTATATTAAAAACATTATCTTCACCATATTCCTTAAATAACTTTTTAAAATACCTGCTTTCTAATTCTCCTTACACTTGAAGTTTTTTATGCAATGTATAGCAACAAAAATATACTTTGACTCTATCAAGATTATATAGTTTTTACTAAAAAAATCTTCTAATATTTTAACAAATGACCATATTTTAAAACCATTCACTTAAAATGGCTTAAATGAAAGACAAACAAATACCAATGAAACAGTGAAGAACTTTATGGTACTGCTACAGGATCCCAGTTTCTTAGGACTTTATGGGAATTATTACAATTTCTTGTCCACTTCTAAAAGCCTCTGCACCAAGGTTTCTGGTAGAAGGCAGTATGGTATATTGGTGAGGCAGAAAAGCTTTCATATGCCTGGCTTCAAAACCTGGCTTTGCCTCTCAATATATGTGTAACCTTGGAGACATTATTCTTTAAGATCTAGTTATTTCATCTGTAAAACGGGACTAATAATGGGTATCTTCTAGGATTATGTTGAGGATTAAATGAGTATTTAGATATAGGTAATACTGGCATATAATGGGTACTCTATAAATGATAATAGTTGTTTTATAAACAATCATATTTATATTTATTACTAAAACAATAAAATAATAATACATAGTATTTGACCATTCATGATGAAGTAACTTTACCTATCTGGGAAAGGATATTCTTTATAGATGCTAAACCTAGCATTTTTTTTTTTTTTTTGTCTTTTTGTCTTTTTCCGTGTCCGGCAACGGATCGCAACCCTCAGTGTTGCCCCCGTACCGGACCGGGGACCGGCAACGGGATCGCAACCCTCGGTGTTGCTCCCACGCCTCGCTCAGCCAGTGAGCGGGAACCAGTCTGTATGTGGGATCCGAACCCTCGGGCGGGAGCGCCGCCGCGCTTCCCAAGCGGCGCACTATCCAGTGCACCACCGGGCCAGCCCTAAACCTAGCATATTTTACAGGGTCCGTATTTAACTAAGCCCTTTTATCAGTTCTGATCCTGACAGGGAAGTTGTACCTCTGTGGCCATATTTAGAGATGTTTTAAATAAACCACAATGAAACCTATATGCCGAGGATTCTCTACTAGGTCATTTAAAATAACCAAATTTTGCTTATTTTGCCCCTTTTAGGTTAAATCCAGTTTGAATTTATTATTACATCGCTTTAAATGTTTATTATACATGGAGAAAATATCATCTGTAATGTAAATATTCCCTTGTATTACTTCTGAAAACAACATTTTGTGCCCTGGTTATTTATCTTAAACTATCACTCAAACTCTTTTGATCAAGCAACTGAATCACAGAATCTCATTCTCCAAAGTATTTCACAGATAGTCTATTTTAAATACAACTAAACTACACATGTACTAAAACTTACCACTTGCTAATTTTCTTTTGTCTGAGATAATACCAATATTATGGGCTAATGACTGGGCAAGTGTAACTGCCATTAAATCAGTTTTCCCAAACTGAAAAACAAAAGCAAAAATAAAATATATGTAAATGCAAATTGTTTTGCATTTAAGATGGAAGAGACAAAAATGTCACATTAAAATTGAACATAAGTAATTTCTAAGCATTTTCTTTAGCAGAGGCTAAACACATTGTAGCTAGGGCTGAACATGCATTTGGATAGAAGTAGTAAGAAATAAATCCATGTTTGATTAAGTCTTTTGAGGAAGACTATAACCAGGGAATCATCAACTTTTGGGTTCGGAAACCTAAGTCTAATTCTGAGTCCAAATTTCACCAGTGACATTCCTGAAAAACAATACTTGCATATGATTAAACATGTCTTTTGGATAATACAACATAAAAATGAATGTGTACAATTACTTAGAACTTGTTCATCTTTATGTGTCACTTGTACTCCTGAAATACCCCCGAATGGAACAGAATGTGGCTCCAGAAAACAATAGAATGAGTAACAGGAAGTAATGATGATATCCAACAGAAACTTAAGAAGAACTGAGGATATATTTTTTTAAATATGTAGTGTCACAAAAGTATTTTTCTTTTAGATCACTTCCATCAGGTTTAGTGCCTTATGGGTAAAAGACCCCCTTTGGAAAACCTACTCTATTTTTTTTCTCCCAAAATTTGTCAAATACTGAGGAAAGAAGAAAATATCTAACTGGGTTACGAAGTGGCAGCATAATCTTTCAGGGAATTACTCAATTCTTTGGAAAATCATTCAAAGCAATACATAGGGCCTTATTTTCAATGAAGATAAAGAGTCTCTCTAAATAGCTTAATTTGGACATTATTCTAAGTAGAACACAAACAATATTACTAGATACTATCTTCCATTATTTCCCTATTCTGTCTTCTGGTCATTTACAGTAGCTATATTAATTTTTAATAAGACAACCTAACAAAGAAGCACGTGGAATACTGACACATTATCTCTTAAATATTAGGAAAACATTTCCAGCCATCATACCACTTTGTATTGTACAGATGTTCACACCTACTTCATTCACGCCTCCTCCTTTCAGCAACGAGCAAATCCCACCAATATAAGCTGCCCCGCTCCGGCTACTCTCAAATTGACTTCCCCTTTTAGAAAAGGAAATGAAAAATGCTTACTGCTCACAGTTCAAATATCATAGCTCCTCTCATTATTACTTTGCCACATTTATGTTCTCAATGTACATAAAATTTCTATAGTATATGTCACTGAGGTAAGGGAGAGATGTGAAAATTATCTGCACACATAAGCAAAGAAAAAGGTTTCTGAGGGATGTTTCCCAACATGATCAATAAATATCTTAAATTGAAGTATACCCATTAAAAAAGAATCACTGATATGATGTATTCTGAGAAGGATAAAAAATTACCTCAGTGGTATTTCTGCCAAAAACACAGAACTTGAATTTCATAATGAGAAAACATCAAACATTCCCACATTGAGGAACTGTCTATAAAATAACTGGCCTATACTCTTCAAAAGCATTAAACTAAATGGATTTTTTTTTTAAAGCTGGTATATATACACAATAGAATACTACTTAATTATAAAAAGAAATGATATCCTATCATTTGTAGTAACATGGATGGAACTGGAAACCATCATGTTAACTGAAGTAAGTCAGACACAGAAAGACGAATACTGCATGATCTCACTCATATATAGAATCTAAAAAAAAAAAAAAAAAAAAATTGGTTCTCATGGAAGTAGAGAGTAGAATAATGGTTACCAGAGGCTGGGAGGGCAGGACTGTAGGGGGGAGGCGAAGTGGTGGATTAATGGGCACAAAACTATGCTATCTACCCTAAGTGAATCATCGTGCAGTATGTGCATGTATTGGAACACACTGTACCCCACAAATATGTACAAGTAAATGTTAAAATAAAAAATTTAAAAATTAAACAAAACTGCTAAGTTCAAAACAGATAAAGAAAGGCTGAGAAAATCTTTCAGATTAAAGGAGACAAAAGAGACATAGCGATTAAATGCAATGTGCGATCCTGGATTGAATCCTGGATGGGGGAAAAAATTAGCTATGAAAGTCATTATTGAGACGACTGGTAGAATTTGAATATAGACTATGGATTACATAAAAGTATTTTGTCAATGTTAAATTTTCTGGTTTTAATAATTTACTGTGGTTATATAAAAGAGTGTCTTTAGTTTTACAGAATACACACCAAAGTACCTAGCAGTAAATGTCCACTAAGTGTTTCCAACATACTCTCAGAAGGTTCAGGGAAAAAAAATTGATAGCTAAATGGATGGATGGAAGGCAGGGAAGAAAGAGAAAAGGAAGGAAGGAAATTATAAAACGAATGGGGAAAAATGTAAATTGATGAATCTGGATAAAGGGCATAGCAGTATTCTTGCAACTTTTCTCTGAATTTGAAATTATATAAAAATTAAAAGGTACTCAAAAAATGCATCTTTTACTCCCATTTATAACCTTCATCAACAGCTCTGACTTTAGATAATAGACTTTTTAAATGCTACTATATATAATTTGCTATTACATCAAATATGTATGTTACCAAAAAAAGAGAAAGAGAGAACATAAGAATGAGGAAAAAAAAGAAACTCCAAGAATACTAAACTCTCACCTTAGAAGCAAAAACAGAGAGAACATTAATACTTAAAAGACAGCAACTTTAAAGAATACAATTTATCTATTGTTATGAATACTTTATATATTAGCAGTACTTTTATTTGGTAAATGCTCTGATTAAATCTCCTGAAAAATTAAATGTAATAGACATGCAATAATAAAATAACTCAAAATTAAATTTCTTAACTTTTCATGACAATTTTACACAATCTATACTTTAAAATTTCTTCCGAATGTATCTGCCATGTCAAATCCTAATTGTATTATGCAGTAGACAGGTTATATCTTAGTCACATGTAATAGAGCATTCAATAATGGAACCAAAAATGGTAATAAATTGTTGCAGAAGTTACGTACGAAAAAAGGTGAACTGCATCACTTTTTTCTTTGATAAAATCCCTCCGGTATTTCATAAACTCACGTAGGGTGATCAGTGGATTTTCAGATATGGCAAACTTGTTGTCAGTCGCCCAGGTTTCCATGGCAACCAATACTATCCTTGTCTTAAGTTGGTCTTTATATATCTGGTATATTAACAAAATGAACACACCAGCTGTACATATGGTAAAATCAATTAGTTTATGAACACTACAAAGCTGAACACAACAGCTGTACATGTGGTAAAATTGAATAGTTTACAAATAGGACTACAAAGCTCCTTTCATGGAAACTCCTTGAGTATTAGTTAAAAAGGTAAAAAACATTACTGTTTTTAAGGGAGATAATGATTTTTCTAATTTACATGCATTTCCCCTGAGCAACACAGAATCAAATTTTTTACTGAGTAATACCCAAAGAACAGAGAGCTTTTTAGAAACAAAAGATCCGTTTTTGACAAATACTTATACCCTATTCAAGGCTCCCCTGATTCCATTTTATGGCACCCTGGACAAAGAATTCATGCATTCTTGAGTTCCCCTAGCAAAAAAAATGGAACAATGAAGACTCTCCAAGGAAATAATTTCTATACAGCCTGACTGGCTATGGTTAAGCTTGTGGAGAAAGTACTGGCACTGCCTTGTGGAGGGAAGATTTGGAAAGTAGGAACAGTGGAATTATTTAGTTGCACCAACGCCACAGCATCAGGCACTCTTTTGAAAAAGCCACAACTGAGGGACTGTTTCTCCATCCACAGAAGTACACTATGAATATTTTTGTTAGGGGCTATGACTCAACCTTTGTCTTTTACAGAAAAACACAGGAAGGAATTTCAGGCATATCTGTAGGTAACTGACCACTTCCTCTTCCCAGCCAGAGATCAAAGTCAATAAAGTTCATTGCAAGGTCACTGGGGACTTACAGGACACCTTGACTAAAGTGCAACTTGGAGTAGTGAAAACATGAGAACTATATTATCCATTCTACTAGCAAACAGGAGATAAAACTGCTCTAGGGCAGTACTGAATCAGGTTGATACTTACTAAATCTGCCATGTTCACCACAGATTTCGCATATGTATTGGTATGTACAATGGAAAGCCGATGTTTTTTAAACTAAAAGCAAAAGAAAACAAGTGAATGGCTTTCAAAATTATCAGGAAATAATCATCTCGTCAGAGAAAACATTGTGTAATTAAAAGATCCCTGTGACTTTCTATGAAAAATGTCAGATTTGAGACCTAGTTTTTATCTGCTGTGTAGCCAGAGGCAAGGCTCTTAAAAGCTTGAGTGCTCAGTTTACCCATCTGTGAGATGAAGTAAAAAATGTCCCCTCTGTCCATTTCACAGATTTATTTTTATCAGGATTGTTATTAAAAATGGTAAAACATATGAAAGTTGTCTATGAATTACAAGACATACAAATCTAAGTGGGGTTTAGCCAGAAGAAGTGAAAGTGCACAGTGCTAAAAGTATAAAAATTTACAAGTTCTACAAGATTTATTCAGTAAGAAGAAAGCCCTAAGATAAACACCAGAAAGAGGTAACTTATAGGCTAGATGTGGATCACATATATCTTTTGTTTGATCTCTGTGTTGTTTTAAAAATCAGGAAGTATCATGTAAAACCTGATGATCTCTGGCCACACGTACAATTAGCATCCCCACACGGTAATAACTGGCAAGCACTGAGAGGTAGCTGCTCCCTTTAGACATGCCATGTGCCGGCCCTTTAGCCACAGGCCTCACCTCTCCCTATTGTATTATACCTGCTTCACTTCACTTTGTAGTAATATCTGTCTAGAGATGTCTATAGACATCTGAATTTGTCAAATGTTCAAAATATATGTTCTTACATCTTATTCTTATTTTATAAAAACCCCAGGAAATAATAACATTCACTGGATTCAAACAGGTAGAAAGCTAAAACTTAGATCAAGCCTGAACAAGGAAATAGCACTCAATCCTGATTGTATTATTATTATTATGAGCAACAATAATAATTGAGATCTATATTATTCACTCATATATAAGCAAATTACACATTTTCCCTCAAATAAATCATTAAAGTAAATTAAAATGTATTTGTGCCTGAAATTAAGAAAAATTCAGCAATGTGCACCTCTGAACATTTTTAGTTTAAAACTCTGGTTACATGGAACAATTAGCATTATAACTCCCTGCCGTGCTATTAATGTAACCATACAGACTACAACATGCCCATGAACTGAATATACATACTAAGAGTTGGAACAATTGGCTCCAACAAGGAGGAAGTTTTGCCAAGTTCTTATCTTAAGAATCTTCACTGCTCAGCTATGTAAACATTTCCATATGGTTTTTTGAATGGCAGGACAAAAACAGAAAAATTGCTTTCCTTTTATCAGGATAAAGCTATACACTGCAAACTAAAGTGTCACATAATTGATGCCTCACTTATTTTTTCAATATAAAATAGAAATTTCCACTTTCTTAAACCTTGTCATTTTAGTAAGAGGAGATTCAAATATTAGTACCTACATTAATTAAATAAAATCAAAGAGTTGACATTATGAGTCTCAGAAATATTTCTGGACCCTCACAAATTATTTCTAGTTCTTTCCTATTTGCACGTTGTTCCTGGTTAACAAATACATTTGGTTACACAAATAACCTTCTTCAGGTTACAACTTCATGGGCTTCTTATTTCTTCTAATCTTATTTTTACACCTACCAGTTTTACCCTAGGCACAGATTTAGTTTAAAAAAAAAAAAAAAAAAGCAAATCCTACCATGAGATGATCATTCACAATCATTAGTTCAATGTATTTAGTTTCCTCTTCTACATTACGAGGATGTCGGCGAAGCTGCAATTTAGGAAACAGAGTAGAACATAAATAAGCCCTGTAAACATGGCTGTTTAAAACTTAGAAATATTGAAGAAATGAACAAAACGAAATTTCTCCTTTTTATTTCTTTAGCATTTATTTTTTTAATTTTCATCAATTTACTGAGTTTTTGAGTAGGTAATAAATACACTTACATAGTTCAAAAAATTAAAGTATAAAAAGACATAGGATAAAAGTCTTCCTCTCACCTCTGTCCCCCATCTACCCAGTTCCTATTCCTTCCCCCACAATAGGTACAGTGAGTTACTGATTTCTCCAGGAATATTTCCACATATAAAATTAAATATGAATATATGTTATTTTACACTTCCATTTATTTTGCTCTCTTCTGCATCAGACTATTTTCATTTAACAGTATATTCTGGAAACAGTAACACATGAACAGCATTCTATCTGGTTTAATTTAAGATCCGAGGACCTCTGAGAGGGTACAGAGAGGGGGGTGATCAGCACTTTTATTCTATAATCTCCAAACTGGGATTGATACATGCCCTTTCCTCTGGTATGGTTCAGGGGATCCCCCAAATGATACAGAGGCTCTGTTAGTAGAACTTTGAGAACTCCCAGGCAATCTTGGGTTATCTATTTCTGATATACAGCTAGATCTCTCTGCTCAACAACAAATTCCCTCTACCTTCAAACCATGACCAATAAATGTTGCAGGCAAGAGCCACTAAGGCAGCCATCCCCTTCATTCTCTGCAGTTGGTCTGGAACACAGTCTTTAACAAGATTTCCAAAATTAACTTTTTCATTTATGCCACGGTTCAATACACTTTTTTTTTTTTTTCTGTAAATCTTTTTGTTCACTTGTCCAAGGACCATTTTGTGATGAGGGTATATAATCAAACCTAAATCGATACATGTATGTTTGTTTTGAGAGCTGATTAAAAATGCTGCCTCATGGATTTTGTCTCATTGCTATTTGCATTCCTGAGCTTAAAAATTATTTTTTTTAGTCTCTTATAACACCAAGTTGATAGAGAATAATTAACCATAATACTGAGGTTGGAAACCAAAGAGTAACACTAAACTTCATCCAAGGACAAGAGTCTTCTTTTTAAAAAAAAATAGATGTTTTTAGGGTGATAGAACCTGCTTTGCTAATTGGGGGAGAGACTTAGTGGTTAAAAGTAGAGTTTCCAACAAGTCCCAACATTTTCTGATTGTCAAAGAGTTGCCATATTGGCCACACAGTTTTATAGTACCCCACTTCCCAGATCTCCCAGAAAGAGAAATCAAGAGTTTGTCTGCTTAGCAAATGACTGGATATTAGGAAGAACTTCAAGGCACATGTCAAAAGACTATTAGCCTAATCACTCAGTTCATAATTCATGAAAATAAATACTGTTTCAAATTAATCCTGATGGTAATTATTTTTATCAAGCTGGGCTTCAAGATATTTATGTCTCAGTATCTATTCGCATATACTCCTATATATAAATATTCACAACATATATAAAACTCATGATAACAATTCATGGAACACATGGGCTTCTGAGATGCAAGATACAGAGCATATGTGGTTATAAGCACCTCCTTGAGACCAGACTTCCTAGGTCAGAATCCCAGTCCCTGAGCAACCCTATGTGATCGTGGGCAAGTTTTTTTTTGCTTCATGTCCTTATCGGTAAAATGAGGATAATAAGAGTACCTTCCTCATAAGACTATCATGAGGATTAAATATGTTAATACAGTTAAAAGTCTTACAGTAGGGCCAGTCACATGATAAGTATTCAATAAAATTTAGCAATTATTATTCACATTAGAAGTCTGTCTGTAAACATATTTTATTTCAAGGTAATAAAAGATACCTGATTCTTTCGATTACTTGGTCTTATTAAAGATGTATTTTTATGCCCTTCTCCCTACCCTCCCCACCCCCGCACCCACACATAATCTCACACAAACCACCACCACAAGTGATATCTTCATTCTGATGGCCACAGCTTTTACTTTGTCGAAACAATTTACCAGCTGTATGATTCTGAGCAAGTCATTTTCACATGACAGAGCCATCGTTTTTCTTCCCATGAAAGGGGAATAATAGCACCTATTTCGTGTAGTTTAAAGCACTGCATAAACAGTTATTAATTATTATTACTCAGTCCAAGATCCTGTTGAACAATCATAAGGCTTATGTCCTAATTTTATATCTTGGAATCCAAAATAGCTCAGGTGAGATGAAAGCATTTTGTGGCTTCAAAACCTGATGGATTCACTCTTAAGGGGTTATCTTCAAAGGGATAGATAAAAAGATGTGTACCATGTAAGCAGACTCCATGACGTGGTACATTCCTGGGCAAGGAAAAAGGCATATGGTAGAAAGAATCCGAGATGTCACAAGTGGGGGCCTCATAATCTGTCTATATGTTGAAGAGCCATATTATCACTACTGTCTTGAATCCCTTTCAAATCTATAAAATAATATAGCCCCATTTCCACTGCTCCTACAAATCTATCACCTTTACTATTTACCACACCCTAACAAATGCCTGAACTAGTACTTACTCTCTGACACAGACTTAATGAAGTCAAATGAAAAGCAATTGTCAAGTGTTTTAAAATATCATGACATACACCTGTGAACCCATACCTGCCGTTTAATCCTTGTTAGTCCTGGTTTCAAGATAAATTTTGGTGGAGTGATGTTTAATTGTTGGAATTCTAAAAGAAAATAAAAATAAGTTAAATTTAACTTAGTGCATTTTGCAGATTTCTTTAATACAGGGTGATTGAAGTTTTACTAGCCCTTCCTTCTTAAGAATTTTATAATATATAATGTACTTAATAATAATACAAAACACTAATCTAAGTAATTGTGTTAATATTAATACCAAATGAACATAAAATGGATTAATACAATTCATAAAATCTCAAACATAATTTCTGTTCTAACTTATCTCAATTTTTTTTCATATTTCTCCCATAAATACCATCACATTCTTTATCACGAATCTTCTAAATAGCTAACTTGACTTTCACTTCCATTATTGACTGTCTAGAGGCAGGAAAATAAAGAAGAGGAGCAATGAGAAGCAAGTAGAATAAATATTCACACATTCACAAGTTCATGATTTATTAAGAAATTATTGTAGGGTACCAAAGTTTTGAGTTATTTTTTTCCAATTTGATATTCTTTGTCCATAACCAAATTTACCTCGGGTTTTGTCTGCTCTTGGAAGAAGATGTGGAAATCTGAACCCCTCTTGACTTGCAAGTCAGAATTATACATCAATGCTTATGCATATAGGTTCATCACTGTATAGAAAGTCAGGTTATTTATAACAGAGAATTTTTCTACGGAGTGAAAGAAAAACTGCAATTTTCTGTGGTACAGATTTCCTAAAACTTTGATGCTTGATTGAACAACATGAAGTAGCCTGATGTGGGTATTCTTATGAGAGTAATGCTATATAACACTAGGAGTGAACCATTGTCATTATTCTTGGTTATTGTTTATATAAACTGAAAAGTTCTATGAAATCGCACCACTTTCCTAAAATGTTATAAAATGTGTTTGCTTTTCACATGAGTGAGTTATTATATTCATAAGAAAAATCACTCTATATTATCAACCCATGTAATTTCAAAAGAATTATGAGAGATCTTTTTACCTAAAGCTGTTGCCAAGACTCTAAGTAACTTTATCAAGCTTTCTTTTTCATTACTTTAAGGACTGATAGACAGTAACTGATTAAATTAATTTCTAATTTATTTTTACATTTATAAGAAATTATGTAACGACACTTTCAAAAGACAGAGATAATTGTGGTCAGAGAAATCTATAACAAAGAAGCTGATTAATGGAATCAGTCTAAGAAGGATAATATCTTGGCTACTTATAATTTCGTTTTCAAATATGCACTTATGCTGCTTTTGAGGATGTTATGGCCTGGGTATATGAGAGATTTGGTGAGGAAGGGAATAACTTCTCTTTCACAATTAACTGATAAGAAAAATAGAAAAAAAAAAAAAAAGACGGCAGAATTAAACCAAATCATATCAATAATTACACTAAGTGCAAATAAACTAAATGTTACAGCTAAAATGCAAGGATTGCCAGACTGGATTTCCAAAAACACAAGACCTAACTGTGTGGTATTTACAAAAGGGGCACTTTAAATGTCAAGTATGGAAAAAGATATATATTACAAACATTAATCACAAGAAAGCTGTGCTGGAATATTAATATCAGACAATGTAACTTCAGGGCAATACATAGTGTCAGGGAAAGAGAAATATTTCATAATTATAAAAGAATATATTCATCAAAAAGATACAACACTCCTAAATGTTTATGCACCTAATAACAAGAGTTTCAAAATACATAAAGCAACAACTGACAGAAATGAAAGGAAAAACAGACAAATCCAGAGTTACAGCTGGAAATTTCAACATTCCTCCCTCAGTAATTGACAAAAAAAAGTAAATAAACTCCTAAGGATATAGAAGACTTAACATTATAGCATTTTTATTTTTATTTATTTTATATTTTATTGATTGTACGTATATATTCACAGGGTACAGAGCTGACCATCAGCACCTGTGCCCAAAATGTGATGATCAGATCCATACTATCACCATGCCCACCACCTCAAATTTCAATTGCTCCCCGTGTTCCCCACCCAACTTCTTCCCAACCCTCCTCCCCTCCCCCACAACCCTAGGACTGTTCTCTCCCTCTGCAAGCCCAACACACCACTGTGGTCTTTCTTTACTTCCTTTTATGGCATTTTTAAGCACTTCACCCAATAACTGCAGAATATACATCCTTTTCAAAAATACATTAAACATTCACCAAGACAGACAATATGCTAGGCCCAATAACTTTAGAGGAAATGAAATAATAGAGCATTTTCTCCTACTGAAATTCAATTAATTTAAAATTTTATAACAAAAAGATGTATAAAAAAAATAACCAAATATTTGGATATTAAGCTGTACATTTCTAAATAATGCATGGGATAAAGAAGAAATCACATGGGAATTTAAAAAACGTTTTGACATAGGGCCGGCCCATGGCTCACTCGGGAGAGTGTGGTGCTGATAACACCAAGGCCACGGGTTCAGATCCCATATAGGGATGGCCGGTTAGCTCACTGGTTCAGCCTGGTGCTGACAACACCAAGTCAAGGGTTAAGATCCCCTTACCAGTCATCTTTTAAAAAAAAAAATGTTTTGACATAAAGATAATGAAAATACAAGTCAAAATATGAGGGATGAAGGTCAGGCACTTAGTGCTTAAAGGGATAGGCATAGCTTTAAATGGTTATCTTACAAAAGGTTATTTTAGAAAAAAGGTTCAAAATCAGTGATCTAAACTTCCACCTTAAAAAGCCAGAAAAGTAAAATCAAATTAAACCCAAATCAAGTACAAAAAAGTGAGAGAAAAAATTGTTTCTGATAAATTAATAAAACTGATCAAAACCTAGGCTTGATCAATGAAGAAAAAAAACCCACTACAGATCCTACAGGTACTAAAAGGATAATAAGAGGATATTATAAGCAGCTTTATACCAATAAATTCAATAATTTAGAGGAGGGGGCCGGCCCGGTGGCGCACTGCTACAGTGCACCACTTGGGAGTGCGGCGGCGCTCCCGCCGAGGGTTCGGATCCCACATACAGACCGGCCGCTCACTGGCTGAGCAAGGTGTGGGTGCAACACCGAGGGGTGTGATCCCGTTGCCGGTCCCGGTCCGGTACGGGCACAACACTGAGGGTTGCGATCCGCTGCCGGTCACGAAAAAAGACAAAAAGGAGGGAAAAAAAAAAATTTAGAGGAAATTCCTTGAATGGACACAGTACATATAGAAAATCTAATAATCCCATTCTATTAAATAAATTGAATTCTTAATTAAAACTCCCCAAGAAAACTCTAAACCCAGACTTCACTGATAATTCTATCAGATATTTAAGGAAGAAATAATACCACTCTCACACAAACTCAGAAAATAAAAGAGGAGAGAACCCTTCCCAACATATTCTGTAAGACCAGCAAAACCCTGATACTAAAGCCAGAAAAGAAAACTACAGGCCAATATCCCTCCTGAACCTATACATAAAAAATCTTAATAAAATACAAGCAAATCAAATCCAGCTATATATGAAAAGATAATTTACCATAACCAGGTGGGGTTCACCTAGGAATGCGAATTAGTTTAACATTCCAAAAAGTCAACCCATTCAATTTGTCACATTCATAGATTAAAGGAGAAAATTATATGATCATCTCATTAGAGGCAGAAAAAGCATTTGAGAAAATTCAATGCCTATTTTTTTTCTAAATTAATAAAATCCATGCATTTAATCAGTCTCAGGAATTCCATTAAGTCACAAATCTTACACATTGAATCTTTTACAAGCTTTCAATACTTTAAAGGAACCAGAAAATAATAATAAAAGCAAAATGGGTTACTCTCAACACCTATTCCTGATTTTTTTTTTAAAAAGCAACTTAGTGGGCCGGCCCGGTGGCGCACTGGATAGTGCGCCGCGCTTGGGAAGCGCGGCAGCGCTCCCGTCCGAGGGTTCGGATCCCACGTACAGACCGGCTCCCGCTCACTGGCTGAGCGAGGCGCGGGAGCAACGC